AAACAATTGATGACCAAATCTGTCTGAACCCTCAATTTGATTGGGCAAAATTCCTTGAGAAGGGAATCGTCCAGGTAGGAATGAATCTGAATAGACAGGGAATGTAGGTGAGCTATAGCTGCCTGCATGATTTTGGTAAAAGCCAAAGGGGCTGTAGACAGGCCAAAAGGGAGAGCCTTGAACTGGAAAACTTTGTTGTTCCAAACGAAGCGAAGGTATTTCCTGTAAGTATGGGAAATGGGAATGTGGAAATAAGCATCTGAAAGATCCAGAGAAGTAGTCCACATTCCTGGAAGGATTGAAGCCCTGATTGATCTGTTGGTTTCCATTTTGAAATGGGGAACAATAAGAAAGTTGTTCAGAATAGATAGGTCTATGACCGGCCTCATTCCTCCAGTCTTCTTTGGAACCAGAAAAAGACGGGAATAAAATCCCGGAGACAGAGTTAAGAGCGACACCTCCTCTATTGCAGATTTTTGTAACATTGTGTCCACTTCTACTGATAGAAGTTGATACTTGACTGGGTCTTGAGTATGAGACAAACTTATCGGAACTGCAGACAGAGGAGGTGGGTTCTTGAACTGAAGTGTTAATCCCCCTCGAATTATTGACAGCACATAACAGTCTGAGGTAATTTTCTTCCACTGATTTAGGAAAAAACTTAACCTCCCCCCTACTGGTATTGATTTTTGAGGAACTTGTTGTAAATTTTCCCCTGGGGAAGCTGTCAATAACGTACGAGGGGGCAAGAACCTAGGTACTAGACCCAGATTTCTTGGGACCCTTAAAACCACCAGAAGGCTTACCTGAGCTTTTTCCGGAGTTATTGGGTTTGTTCTGCGGTTTGCCGTAGTTATTCTTCCTTTTCTTAGCAGAAGAAGGAGGACCACCTGAAGCAGAAGTACTAGTAGAACTAGATGTAGCATTAACCGACCTCTTGCCATTAGTAACTTGTACACTAACTTTGACTGGAGGAGGGTTTTTGCTGAGTTCCTCTTGAACCCGCTGTAAGGGTAAACCAAACATCTTGTCAGTAAGTGGAGATTTCAGTAAAGAATCTTTCAAAGGCTCAGCAACAGAAATGTTTTCAAGAAACTCTGCTCTTTTAGATAGGGTGCAATTAGCAATAGAACCCATTAAAAGCAACTGAGATGAACCAAGAGCTTTATCCAGTTGAAGTAAGAAGGATCGTACTTCTGCTGGAACAACCGAATCTTCGCTGTTAAGCAAATGTCCGGTTGCAGCTAGAAAATGTTCGGCTGTGCCAAGAACTTGAGAAGCACTACGAAGGAGATTCTCAGTCTTTGACCAAACAGGTTGAGTGAGACGAAGACCATCTACTGGCTTTTTTCCCAATAAAGATGACATAGATTTGTCACAACTGGGAACAAGTCTACCCAGTGAAGAATCAAAGATATCAAAATCCTTGTACTTAACCTGATCAGAAAAGGATGACATTCCAAATCCAGAGATATTGTTATTAGCAACCTTTTCACTAGCAGAATTAGCGATACCTTCATTAATAAATTGTAAAGCAAATGCCATATGGCCAGATTCAGGAAAAGAATTGTGAGAAGTCACAGTATCCTGAGAAATACCACAGGAAGCTTCAAAAGTTGAAGAAGGTTTCTTCGGCTTGGAAGGAGAGGCAAAAGGGATATGTGCTTCATCCCTCATCAAGGTATACACCTTATCCCTAAGATCCTTCAAGGATGGAGGATCCTCAGTCTCCTTGGTGGGAGGTTGTTGAGCTGACTTAGAAGAAGGCTCAGGGGCCGTCTTCGATACCTTGGGAGAAGAAGAACTTTCAACATCCTCATCAGTGAGGAAAGCCCTTTCATGACTCCCAGGGGAAACAGAAAGCTCGTCATCCTCCCTCTCATCACATTCTACAGACTTAGCTGGAGAAGGTTGATGAGAAGAAACTCTATTCTCCAGTAGAGACATACGACTGGATAGAGTACTAAATTCAGCCTTGAAAGACTCACCAAAGTCCAAAAGCAACTTCTGAAAACCATCCAAAGATGATGCATGATCAGAACCCTGAGTACCATGAGAAGAGCTAGAAGATTGAGCTCGAGAGTCAGGTACGGTGGTAGAAGGAGCTACTGCAGGAGTCAAAGATACTGCTACGGGTGGAGCAGGAGCTAAAGGTGGTGCAGTAGCTACCCCAGAAGGGGGACCATAGAAATTGTCCCTATAAGGCCAAAAACCAGGTTGGTTTGGCATAAACCCACCATAAGGGTAAGACTGTGGCCAAGGTGGCTGAGACCATGAGGGTAAAGGTTGTGTGCCCGAGTTGGGAAGCATATACCCACAATAGGATAATGGGGGTCTAGAACCTGGCAAGTTCAAGCCCATAGCTGTACCTGGGACAGAACTAATAGTACCCGATGAATTAACAGGCCTAGATAAAGTATGAGTCACCGAAGTTGACGTAGGTACCCCCCCAAAATGCATGGCCGAACCTTGTGAAAGGGTCGGATAGGTAGCATTACCAGACACCGTTGTCGAAACTCCGGTCATTGTACTGGTAGTTTGGGGGGGACTTAAAGGTAGTGACCCATCTAAGAGATAGTCCGAACCAGGAATATTTACATACGGACTATTCAAATTAAAGTCCATAATAAAATTTACTTTAGTCAAAAAAACACAAATAATTTGTTTAGAAATTCAAACTAAACAAGGGAATAAATTTCCAATAATATACACAATATGAAAAGCAATTAAGCTATTCAAAAACTTTACAAACAACTAAACACTTCTCTGTTGAATCTGTATATATTTGCACGTGTGACCGATGTCGCAGATGGAAATTGAATGGGAGAATATGGGCAAACAGGGGTATATGTCCGGACCAGTGAGAGTACGTTTATTTTTAGTCGGGATTTTCCATCTGACCTATGACGCAATTGGGGTTACACTCAGAATTTATGATGGTAACGTATTTATAGCTATAAAACAACTTTTTTTAAAGTGTAGTGATCGATATTACAATTTGAATTTGGTTGTTTTATGATGGATTTTGTGTACATTGCCCTACAGCATGGTGGCAAAGGGCAACAACTCTAGTTCAAATTATGTCAATGGAAAACTAACTATTGAACCTCTTGGTAACCAGTCAGAATTTTCCTGCATGTGGTGGCTTACGACAGACATAAGCAGTTACATCACTCAGTAGATACAAGTCTGCAGACAGTAAGCCTCTGGTTTTGGTGTACACCTACTGACACAAACAAGTCTAGTATTTCATATTTATGTATGATGTGCGTCATCCTTCTTATTCAGTTAATCCAAAATGGTGGTTATGTCATGGAATCTTTCTTAACAAATAAATTGTTAATATGGGTCCCTCAATAATTTGATTAATATATGGCGTTTTATTTTTGTTTTATTGTTCAGTAGTGAATTTTTATTGTTCAGTAGTGAACAAATAAATGCTTTATTGCATGAACCAGTAAGCAGTTCAACTGTTTCTATTCTTAGGAAAGCATACATCAGTAACTGGTTCAAAATATTCTAATCTGAGGACAAGCAGCATACACCAGTAACCAGTTCAACTGTTTCCATTCTTAGGACAGCATACATCAGTAACTGGTTCAAAATATTCTAATCTGAGGACAAGCAGCATGCACCAGTAACCAGTTCAACTGTTTCTATTCTTAGGACAGCATACATCAGTAACTGGTACAAAATATTCTAATCTGAGGACAAACAACATGAACAAGTAACCAGTTCAACTGTTTCTATTCTTCAATTTGTTCTTAGGACAAGCAGCATGCACCAGTAACCAGTTCATTTTTTTCTATTCTTCATTTTGTTCTAAGGACAAGCAGCATGCACCAGTAACCAGTTCATTTTTGTCTATTCTTCATTTTGTTCTTAGGACAAGCAGTATGCACCAGTAACCAGTTCAAATTTTTATACGCCCGTTTACGGGACGTATTATGGTATACCGTTGACTGTCTGTCCGTCTGTCCGTCCGTCCGTCGTCAACATGTCAGACATTAATTCAAAAACACTTTAACCAATATGCATGAAACTTTGGTGAGTTGTTTATATCTATTAACGTGAGCTCCCTGTCGTTTTTCATAAATTTCGGATTTACTGTTTCCGAGTTTTGGGGTTTTATTCATTAAAAAAAGGGGGATTTTCCCGTTTTCGGACAATAACTCAAAAACAATTTCACCAATTTGCATGGAACTTTTGTGATTTGTTTATATCTATTGATGTGAGCTCCCTTTCGTTTTTCATAAATTTCGGCTTTACCGTTTCCGATAGTGGGGGTTTTATTCATTAAAAAATGGGGGATTTTCCAGTTTTTGGACAATAACTCAAAAACAATTTCACCAATTTGCAAGAAACTTTAATGAATTGTTTATTTCTATCGACATGAGCTCCCTTTTGATTTTTATAAATTTTAGACTATACGTTTCCGATTTATGGGGTTTTATTCATTACAAAAAGGGGGATTTTCCAGTTTTCAGGCAATAACTCAAAAATGCTTTCAGCATTTTTTATGAAACTTTGGTAATTGTTTATATCTGTTTTTGTAAGCTCCCTTTTGATTTTTATAAATTTTCGAATTTAGGTTTCCGAGTTATAAGGTTTTATTTGTTTATAGTCTGACAACAGATTAACTAAGCATTGGGCAACAGCAAGAAATCTTTAATTGAATATAAATTCAATTCATATAACCAATTTCAAGTTCTTTGACTACATTTATTCAGAAACCTATGATATGTCAAATATTTAATTACAATCCAAATTCAGACCTGTATCAAGCTTGAATATTGTGTCCATTTTTTCCCCAACTGTTCACGGTTGGACCTCTGCGGGCGTATCCAGCTGCGCTCAGCGAAGCAGTTTATTCTATTCATCATTTTGTTCTTTGGAGAAGCAGCATGCACCAGTAACCTGTTCAAATTTTTCTATTCTTCATTTTGTTCTTAGGACAAGCAACATGCATCAGTAACCAGTTTAAATGTTTCTTTTCTTAGGGCATGCAACATGCTCCAGTCTCCAGTTCAGATGTTTAAATGGGGAATGTATTGACAACAAGCTTTTATGTAATGGAGAAAATGATTGCATTGACCACAGTGATGAACAGGTTTTAGATTGTTCATCTGACTTAGGTAAATATACAGTTCAGATATACCTGTCTAAGATGAATTTACAGGTACTTGATATCATTGGGGAGGTGATTTACCAGTGTAACCCTATCTCAGGTATGAAAAACAGATTAGGTACACCTGCGCTATAATAATTACAAAGAACAGTTACACCTAAATGTACATTAGATTTATATTGCAATTACCTTTCTAGAGTAAATTACAGGACAAGATATGAAATATATGTTAAATGTTCACAAAGCAAAATGCATGAAATACTGCAGAACAATCAGGGCTTTTCTTCATGCATAAATTTACTTTTAGGTTACTGTTATTCAAAAACTGTTTGTAATCATAAGAGATAACTCCTTACTCGTAGAATATAAACAATGGCAGATGTCTTATTGACAGTTGAATTTTTTAAACCCCCGCCGTAGCAGAGGGGGCATTAAGTTTTACCCTTGTCTGTCTGTACATCTGTATGTCCCAAAATTAGTTTCCATTCTCTATCTTTAGTTTACCTCAACCAAATATTATGAAACTTATACACAATGCTTATTACCACAAAATACAGATCAAGTTTGAATTTTTGTGGCATCACTTTACAAATGGAAAAATGGCTGAATTTTTCATTTCCGTTCTCTAACTTTAGTTTGCCTCATACAAATGTTATGAAACATGTGCACAATGCTTATTACCACAAAACACAGATCAAGTTTGAATTTTGGTGGTGTCACTTTTACTGTTCTAGAGTTATGCCCCTTTACAAATGGAAAAATTGCTAAATTTTTTGTTTCCGTTCTCTAACTTAGGTTTGCTTCAACCAAATTTTATGAAACTTATACACAATGCTTATTACCACAAAACTCAGATCAAGTACAAATTTGTGTAGCGTCACTTTTACCGTTCTTGAGTTATGTCCCTTTATAACGTTATATGCAAGGGGGGGCCATCATCTGTGTCCCATGGACACATTCCCCATTTATTTTCCTTAAATTGCAATAGAAGATCTTCAATGGAAAACTTTAGAAAATAAATTTTTATATGTAACATGTCAACATACTGTAAACTTTCACAGTAAAAGCTGAAAGTTCAAGAAATTTTAGAATACTGTAAATCTGAAGTTGTTGTAATGTATTTTCAGGCAACAAGACAACAGACTGTGACCCAGTTAAATACTACCAGTGTAAATACAGCAGTGCTTGTATTCATTGGATGAATGTATGTGATGGGTCATCCACTTGTCTATATGGTGATGATGAGAACAAGTGTGGAGATGGTAGGTCATTATAAATAAGCCATCTAGTTTGAAAAATCTCAGTAATTGTTGGTATGAAGGTATTGACAGTTATAAAGTGTACCTATATTATAATGAATATAGAACATGACTTGAAAGAATTGTTTCAATTCTATTAGGAAAATCTACTTTTACTTTCGAAGAAGACCTTCAATTCAATTCAAAGCAATATTGGTAGACGGTTCATATATATAACATACAAACATAAGCTCGTTAGAGCTTTTAAAATGGACATAGATACTACACATAAATACACATTACACACATAAGACAATACATGCACAATATAGATAAAACATATACATTTTAAAAACAAGCATTTTAATGATATCACAATAAATACCTTTAAAACATGTTTAGAGTAGAAGGTAACGACAGACATGGACAGACAAGACAGTATCATACCAACCACTGTGTGAGTTGTTGTATCATAGATATATCATAGTAATCTGTTAAATTATAACAATTAATGTTATACAACTTATTCATAATATTTTTTTATTTTTACTTGATTGAAAAAAATTTACTGCAAACCAATTTATTTTAGTGGAGGAAATTTTTGGAAAAATATAAATTAAATTTTCTCTCTCTCTTAATACAAATATTTTGTGAAGGAACAGAAATTCTTTTATAGCAAATAAAAAAATTTATTGATTTTTTCCAATATGTTATTTTACAGGGTCAATAGCACCACAGGTTAGATTGATACTGGCCGGAGGAAATAATTTGACTATAAGCTGGGCAGCTGTCTTGACAATACCTGGATCCACTTATATTGTATCATACATGTAAGTACGATAAATTACCATCACTTTTCAACCTTCTATCTGATAAGGACTGCCTCAGTAGTGTGATTGTCTGAATAGTGTGAGTTCAACACTTTTATCCACAACTGGGTCAAACCAAAGACTTGAAAATCTGTACTTGATACTTCTTTGATAAGCACATGGCATTTAAAAATAAGAGCAAAGACCAGTCAGCTCTTAGTCTGAAATGTCTGAATAGGATGTTATGTCTTCCTGCTAATTGTTACATTGTGAACCAGCACATTAAAAATCCAACTCAGTATATCAGTCTTGTTCAAAGCAGGGTTCATATTCATAAAACATTCATATGACTCATCCTGTATATGTAATATTTGCCATTGAACATTAAATTCTTGCGTTAAATCATTGATATTTTGTATGAAGTCACATTACTATCATATCTGTGTGACAACTATTTTGAGGCCCTGCCCCTAGGTCATGGTCCAGTGACTTTGAATTAATTAGTAATTTTCAATGTTAAGTTTTCTGCTTAATGTAAATAAGAAGATGTGGTATGAGTGCCAATGAGACAACTGTCAATCCAAGTCACAATGTCTAAAAATTTACCAATTATAGGTCAAAGTACATCCTTCAACACGGAGCTTTGACTCACACCAAACAGCAAGCTATAAAGGGCCCAAAAATGACTATTGTAAAAACAATTCAAGCAGGAAAACCAACGGTCTAATCTATATAAAAAAACGAGAAACACCTATGAACCACACCAACAAACAACAACCACTGAACAACTGGCTCCTGACTTAAGACAGGTGCATAAAAATGCAGCCAGTTTAAACATTTTAACAGGCGCCAACCTTCACCCTAACCTGAGACAGTAGTGAAACATTACAACATAAAAAGGCACACTATAAAATATCAATTGAAATGGCTTAACTCGATCAAAAAGACATTTAAACAAAAACAAGTAAACATAGATCAAACGAGTAAGTTTGATCTATGACACAATATAAATACCATGTTAAAACATAAATGCCTATATAACATAGACGTTACAGGTAGTAATAAAAAAGATCTAGGAAGAGTGTCAATAAGACAACTCTTACTTGGGACAAAATCACGTTAAATAAAACAATGTACACAGGTAAATTTAAATATAATAATTTTGTTGTTAGTACGGAAGGAAACATTTTTTTACAAAATTAATAAATTTGTTGTTCAGAGTACGAGTACAGAAGTGAAAATTTATCGTCATACTAAATACTTACAAAGGTGGAACATATTAAAAATAGCGAGACAAGATATAACACAAAATAAGTAAACATTAAATTACAGAAATGCATTACAAATTGTGTCAACAGGTCAAATTAACACAAAAGTACAATTTGAGAGTACTTGCAGTTACTGAAAGCTAAAATAAACGTGGATGTGTGTTTATACATCCCAAAAAACATTCGCAAAGAATACAAATTTAGTTATGTTTTAATTTGTTGATGACAAAATCGATGTTAGTGCTAAAGTAAACAATATTCAAAGATCTTATTACAACATTAATAAGATAACCTTTACTAATAAGTTTGTTTAAAGGTTCGATGAGTTTACATGGATCACATAGTGATTTCCCCGCTTTTAGTACAATATTACCGTAAAATTTAGGATGTGAAATACCTTTTTTAATAAGTTTTCTACAGGTACAGCCAAATTTACTAATCAAATTTTTGTATCTATGAAAATTTTTGGTAAAAGTTTTGAGTAATTTATGGTAACGAAATCCCTGACTTAATAATTTACCAGTGATGCATTCATTACTTTCGTTAAAATCTATGACATCACTACACACACAGGCATTACGAACGAGTTGGAATATATAAACACCGTATGATGTAGCCAAAGGAACATAGCTGTCAAAAAAAAGAAAATTAACAATAGCATTAGGGAATGAAAAATTAACAATAGCATTAGGGAATGAAAAATCTTTTTTGTTGTAAATTTTAGTATGGAGTTTCCCTATAGAAATTGAAATGTCTAAATCTAGAAAAGGAAAACTACTGCTGTTTATGTTAGATTTATTTTAGGTAAATTCCTTTGGGTAAATTTCGGTAGTATATTTAGAGAACTCTGGATTATTCAACTAAAAAAGTATCATCAAGATAATGGTAGGTATTGTTGAATGTGTCAACCAAATGTAACAATGACATGTCTTTACTGAGTTTGGCCATAAACTGTGATTCATAGCAATACAGGAATAAATCGGCTATTAAAGGGGCGCAATTAGTGCCCATTAAGTCAGTTTGTATGGGTTTTTCTCATTGTTGAAGGCTGTATGGTTTCCTATACTTGCTTACATTCACTTCATTTGAACTTAGATGGATAGTTGTCTCATTAGCAATCATACCACATCTCCTTATTTTTATATTAACAAACAAGAAGTCCATAAAATTATGTGAAAAAGGAAAATTCTTTATACATGCTGATAATTTCATTTGTTGAGGGTGAGAAACATGTAAAATTAACATTTCCTCTATTTTTAGGGATCCAAGTGATACAACATCAAAAAATGTAACAAAATGTTCTATGGAGAATGGTTGTACCATAACAGGCTTGAAACCTTTGACCAAATATTTTGTAACAGTGTTTGTGGTTTATGATAAAACCATACATAGACCACATAGGATATCGAAATTTTCTACAACTGAAGCAGGTAGGACAAAAATTATATAACACACCATATCTTATAATTGGCCTTTGATGGTGATTTAATAGAAAAGAAAGGATATGGTATACCGTATATCCATGCATGACACAAAATCAATACATGCACAGCAAAAAACACAAAAAACAAAGGAACAGTGTTTTTATTGCTGTTCTTCATCTTAAATCTACATTGAAAATGTAAAGAAAGTTTTTTTCTGACGAACTACTGAACCAATGACACCATCATTTCTGAGGACTTTCCGCCTGCCAATAAAATCATGTTTATGAGAACAGACTACTTACAGGAAAATGCAATGATTTTTCTTTATGTTTGCAGTAGTGTTGTGTTTATTGAAATTACTATATTAGTGAAATATCCTATTACATTTATACATTGATAAAAAACTATGCAATTTCTTTTTATTTTAAACAACATTTTCTTGATTCAAACTTATTATATATGCCAGCTGTTTTGTTTCATTTTCATATAGTATTATGGTATATCCATCTGTCCTTCTGTCAACACTTTGTACGATAAATCACATTAACCAATTCTCATAAAACTTTGACATAACATTAGAATTGACGGGAAAAAGCTCCCTTTCAATTTTTTCAATTTTTGTCTTGCCTTGACAGAGTCAAAAAGCGAGACATAGGTATGCTGTTTCCGGCGGCGACAGCGGCGACAGCGGCAGTGTCAACAATGTATTAGTTTGTGATTAGGTCTAGTTTAAGGACAAACACTAGTGGTTGGTCAATGATATTTGGTATGCAGTTGTATTAGCACTGACACATCTCATTTCCATGGAGATTATTTGGCCCTGCCCCCTCAGTCATGGTCTATTGACTTTGAAACTTTTGCTTAGTTTACATGTATTAGTTTGTGATTAGATCAGTTTATGGGGAACCACTAGTGGTAAGTCAATGATATTTGGTATGCAGTTGTATAAGCATCTGCATATCTCATTTCCATGGAGATTATTTGGCTCCGCCCCCTCAGTCATGGTCTATTGACTTTGAAACTTTTGCTTAGTTTACATGTATTAGTTTGTGATTACGGTAGGTCAGTTTAAGGGGAACCGTTAGTGGAAGGTCAATGATATTTGGTATGCAGTTGTATAAGCATTGTCATATCTCATTTCAATGGAGATTATTTGGCTCTGCCCCCTCAGTCATGGTCTATTGACTTTGAAACTTTTGCTTAGTTTACATGTATTAGTTTGTGATTAGGTCAGTTCAAGGGGAACCATTAGTGGTAGGCCAATGTTAATGTTTGTGTTTAGGTTTGTTGAAAGGGAACGACTTATGATGAGTCTATGGTATTTGGTATGCAGTTGTATTAGCATTAGCACATCTCATTTCCATGGAGATTGTTTTGCCATGTATCTTCAGTCATGGTTCATTGACTTTGAATATTTGCATAACTTACATGTTAAAGTATTGCTATTTTAATTTCAACATTTGCATTATTAAAAGTACAAAAAGGTGAGATATATCTCTGTGTTAACAGTTTATTTGCTTTGTCTTTCGAAAGTGTCATAGCTTTGACCCTTAGAATTATGACAATTTTTTACAAATCGTGCACTATCCCAGATATTCCAAAATTGATTTCCTCCAAACTTTACATTATTGTGGGGATAGATGAAAGGAAGCTCCCTTTTGATTTTTTAAATATTACAGTTTGCTACAATGGTGACAAGGTTTTATTCTATTTCAGTACCAGACCCACCATCCAATGTTAAAGCCATAATAGACACTGTAGACACAACAGATATAAACAGTCCTATCAGTGTTCAATGGACATCTCCAAGTAACAGTGGTGGTACAATAGTTAGTTATATGGTATGTTTTTTAATTTTGTTTCATTTGTATAAAGTAAAATCACAAAAATACTGAACTCCGAGGAAAATTCAAAAAGGAAAGTCCCTAATCAAATGGCAAAATCAAAAGCTCAAACACATCAAACGAATGGATAACAAGTATAATAATATTTCCGAATTGTATGTTTCCGATTTTAATGTGGTGGCCATTTTGCTGAACAAGTATACATTATTGTTTAGGGGTCAGCTGAAGCCAACCTCAAGATGCCCGACTGGTGGCCTTGGGCTGTTTTCTGCTCCTTGGTTTGGTTATTGTCTCTTTGACACATTCCCCATTTCCATTCTCTATTCTATACATACTTCAACGCATGTATATGGTAGATACTAATTCATTCAAGGCATTTTTCAATCTTAAACCTAAATATGCAGACCAAATTGAATAGTTCGGTGAAATGTAAAGTACATACCCAAGCAGTAGAATTGGAAATATCATTATACTTGGACAACATAAAATATCCAGACAGTCCCAATTTTTAAAGAAAACACATAATATTTTTTATTGATACAGTTGTACCTGTTTTACAATAGGTTTTCCCTTAAAAAAAGACAATTATTTATTTTGGGTAGTACAGTGTGTTTGCAGACAGCTCTCAGCCTTTTCAGTGCAATAACGTGAGAATCCATCAATCAAAACTTTGCAAATTTTAAAACATTGTTATTCTGACAATCTAGAGGTCAATTATGATGTTGATGATTTTAGATCAATGAATACCTTACCATCATAAATTCTACGTAGATCCATCTGCTGACAGGCAGAATCCCCAAATAAAAATATCATCCAATGAGAAATAAGGGATGACCTGTGCTCATATAACTATGCCTTTATATCATCCATTTAACTTCCGCCTGCGCAAAGACACATGTGTTAATTTTTTGCTTTCACTATATTTACAGAGAAAACTTTTTTCAGTAGTTTGAATATTGTAGGTATCCCCTATACCATTGTTTATTGCTATTATTTTATTGCTTCCAGTCCATTCAAGGCCATTACAGGCAATGATGTATTTCTAGATGGGTCGTTACCCTACCCTGTGGCTGCAACAACAGTAAGTCGGGGAGTCCCTCCTAATATTTATAGTCAATTAACCAAAGTTCCAACTTTGGTGACTACTAATACTGGTCATCAGACCCTCTATACAGGTTCTGTCGGTTACGATGAAGGTATCCCTACCATTAACACTGTTACTCACACAGGGGGCCTCGGTGGCCGAGTGGTTTAAGTAGTTACTACTGTAATCACTAGCCAGTCAACACTGAGGTTGTGAGTTTGAATCCAGCGCATGTGGGTGTACTGACTCCAATCTTAATTGACTATGATTGTCAGTTTTCCTATCGAAGGTCGGTGGTTTTCTCTGGGCACTCCGGCTTCCTCCACCAATAAAAACTGGCCACCACGAAATAGCCCAAAAGCGGTGCTTGAAAGTGGCGGTAAACCCCAAAAATCAAATCAAATCACAGTTTCTATGCCAGTTGACACCACTGTGTCTGTTTTTTCCTAGTCCGAGTTTTCCTGGTCAGGGTTTCCAGGTTTCTGGCCTTATTGTGGACCAATTACTACTCCTGTTGTTAGTCCTCAGATTGCTTCTTCTAGTCTGTAAGTTTCTGCTCCTCATTCAGCAGTGTCATCTAGTTGTAGTAGTAGTGTATCTGTACCTGCTGCTCTGCCTACCTCTTCTGTTAGGTATGAGGTTAATCAGGTTAACGACTCTGGTGCCTCTTTAGATGGGTTAAGGAGTATTCTGGACCACTTTCGTCAGTCTATTTCATCTGATGCCTTTGAACCCTAGAGAATAATGCCAATAAGTCCAGCTCTCCAGTGATTTCACACCCCTCCAGATCATAATCATGAAAGTGATCAGGAGTACAGTGATGAGGAAGAACATTTTTCAATGGCCCCAGGTAGTCAGGAAGAAGGTTTTTCAGTGGCCCCAGGTAGTCAGGAAGAAGGTTTTTCAGTAGCCCCAGGTAGTCAGGAAGAAGGTTTTTCAGTGGCCCCAGGTAGTCAGGAAGAAGGTTTTACTTCTGATGAAGAAGGTGATAATATAGTTCAGCATGTTCAGGACTCTCAGAATGTTTCACAACTTTCTGTTCCTGTTTCTATCCCTTCTTCTTCTGAAATTGATCGTTCTTCTACCAATTCCAGTAAGGATCCTGAGGCTGAGGATACTTCTTCTACTTTGAAGGATCTTAGAGATTCGGTTTATACCATTATGAGAGACATCAACAAGGTACCATTTCAGTCACCACCTAGACCCAAGTGACTTACCTCTACTTTCGAGGCTTCCTGTGGTCTGTCAATAGACAATGCTAAGTCACATACTAGTTTCCCACAATCTAACCATATGTTGACATCTCTTCAGATCATCAATTATAGGATTGTGGCTAACGAGTCTCAATATTTTTTGTGGTTTTGGTTTTGCCTCATTTATTGAGCATAAATGAATAAATAAAATTTTGGATTTTTTTCTTCTTTTCTTTGGTAAATTGTTTGAAGAATTTTGTGGCAAGTTTGTTTGTTATTCTGTAAAAACTAATTTTCTGAATGCTATATATTTTTTTTTTTGATGAAGTGAACTCCTTTAAAAACTAAGCTTATATTGTCTATTAAAATAAACATATATTTAGATTTCTGATTTTGGGCCCAGTTTTCAAGTTGGTCCAAATCGGGGTCTAAAATTAAACTGTGTTTGATTTCAACATAAATTGAATATATATATAAGGTTCTTTGAAATGCTTAATCTAAACCTGTATTTCTTTTCATTATTGATAAGAGAATACCACATTGAGGTCCAAAGGGTCCTAAATTAAATTTTTGTCTGAATTCATCAAAAATTGAATTCTTGGGGTTCTTTGATATGCTGATTCTAATATGTACTTAGATTTTGGATATTGGACCATAATAGGTAAATGTCACAAAACTATGCTGTGTCATATATTCAATCACAATCTAAATTCAGAGCTGTTTAAGCTTAAGTATAGTGTCCATACTTGCTCAACTGTTCAGGGTTCGACCTCTGCAGGAAAATCCGGTTTGCTGTCACTCTGTCAGCCTCTTGTTTTTATATATTTTACAAAAGTACAGGAGTGAAAATTTATTGTCATACTAAATACTTATCAAAGGTGGTACATATTAAAATAGTGAGACGAGATATAACACAAAATAAGTAAACATTGAATAACAAAAATGCATTACAAATTGTGTCAACAGGTCAAATTAGCAAGAAAGTACGATTTGAGAGTTCTCGCAGTTACTGAAATCTAGTTAAAAGCCTAAAACAATAATTGCGAACCCAATGAAAGTTTTCCACAGTGCCATCTCTATCTTGACCTTTAAATTTATATATCAATAATCAATAATATATTTTCATTCAGTTTAATATAAACATTGATTCAATCATAAAAAGTTGATTTCTAACAAAAGTTTTATCAATGTTCCTATTGAAATTTGATTTTTTTGTGTTTAGTTATAGAATACATTTAAAAAGATCTTAATTTGAAACATCATAATTTTCAAGTTTTTATTCATGTCAAACAAATTTTTTTTTAAAAGGAACAATGTTGAAAGTTTTGTCAGAAATCAACTTTTTTTGATTGAATCAATGTTCATATTAAACTGAATGAAAATATATTATTGGTATTGAATAAATACATCATCACACGCAGTTAATGAGTATAAAAAAAGTATTTTTGTCTGTATATAAGATAATTTTTTTACTCAGGTAATTTAATCAATGAATGATAGATTTCTCTTAGAAGAAATTTAAAGGTCCCAGAGAATAAACTACACAGAGAACAATAGCTATTGTATTTATTCAATAGGACTGGTGAACTTACAAAAGTTTAAATACCTGGGCAAGATAGAGATGGCACTGTGGAAAACTTTCATTGGGTTCGCAATAATAATAAAAAATCATGCATCAGAGACTAAAATCAATTAAAACTCATCCCAGGGATTTAGTGTTTTAATGCCATGGACAGTCAAAGAAGACATGACTTGTGCAATGCCAAAATAAAAGTATCGACAGGCAGAAGGATAGTTTGGATTTAACCTTATAATAAATATGTATCATGTTAATCCCAAAAAAAACATTCGAAAAGAATACAAATTTAGTAATGTTTTAATTTGTTGATGACAAAATCAATATTTGTGCCAATGTAAAAAACATACAAAGATCTTATTACAACATTAATAAGCTGACCTTTACTAATAAGTTTGTTTAAGAGTTCGATGAATTTACATGGATGATATAGTGATTTCTGGGCTTTTAGTACAATATTACTTAGGTCAGTAGGGGTAAACATTGGAATGTAAATTCACAAATTATCCCACTTCTCCTATTTCTTAATATTACTTTTGTTTGAATTCTATTACTTTACAATTTTTTACAGATTTATTGTCAGGATAAAAAAACGAAAGCGACAAGCTACAAATCTATAGTTGGACAGATGACCAAAGGACTAATTTTGCCATTAAACGTTGTATATGGACACAAATATAGTATTTGGGTAAGTTTACTTTTGTAATAATTCTAATGGAAACCAATTAGTAATTGGTAAAAGATTTAAACAAATTCATTTTTCAGGATAACAGAACTTGATAAATGGATGTTTTTTTTCAAATAGGATACTGACATTTATTCCAGAGCTATGGCACCCTTTTTGTGTATTGTTTAACCCCTGTCTATCTATTCCTTCCATCTCTCATTCTGTTCCATTAACGTTTTATCACATTTTTTCTCAGGAACTGCAAATCTGAGCTTCCTGAAATTTGGTATCAGGCTTCATGAGAGCATGATATACTCTGCGATGCGTTTTCACATCCAATACTCTTCAACTTCCTGTTTGTTTAATGCTTATTGTTGGGGTATCGTTTGTGAGCAACAGCTGACAGTTCAACATGCTTTTCTTACAGTAAAATTTGCAATAACTGAAATTCCCACTTTGCTAACATTGATTGGATTGATGAAAATAAGCTGCATTTGGTGTTGATAACTGTTACTTCTTCTTGAGTTTGACACTTTTTCATGAAGAAATGATCCCCTTGAACAGTGTGTACATAATTATACCCCACGCAACAAGTTGTGGAGGGTATAATGTTTTTGACCCGTCCGTCTGTCCGTCCGTCAGTCCGTCAGTCCGTTAGTCCATCAGTCCTATTTCTTGTCATCGCAACTCCTCTCAAACCACACAACAGAATTTCACGAAACCTTTTTAGATTATAAGGACATACTATGTAGTTGTGCATATCAATAGGAAATTACGATTCAATTTTTTTTCTAGGAGTTACGCCCCTTTGAACTTATTTACTTTAATGTACTACTGCAATAGTTTGTCATCGCAACTCCTCTCAAACCACACAACAGAATTTCATGAAACCTTTTCAGATAATAAGGACATACTACGTAGATGTGAATATCGACAGGAAATTACAATTCAATTTTTTTTCCAGGAGTTACACCCCTTTGAACTTATTTGCTCAATATACTACTGCAACCTTTTGTCATCGCAACTCCTCTCAAACCACACAACAGAATTTCATGAAACCTTTTCAGTTAATAAGGACATCATTCGTAAATATAGCTCAACATGCAGACTTCTTATACGTTCAGGTATTTCACATCCAATTTTTTATGGAAATATTCTTTATAAAGCACAAAAATGTCAGTATTCACCTCTGAAACTAACAAAACCTTTAAATAGACTTATTAAGAAGGGATATAGTTACGATACTGTTGTCAGGTCATTAAAGATTGCATATTTTGGCGTTAATATTGATTCACTTATAGGGTCTTTGCATCGGCACTAAACACATTTATTTAAAAACCAGTTGTTGGCATGACACGGGTTATGTTCTTCTCATATATGTTATGATGGTATGATACTAAACCCCTAACGGGAAGGATTGTGCCTGATATTCATATGATGAAGACATAATCTTTCAATCAGTTTAATTGAAGTCTGGAGCTGGCATGTCAGTTAACTGCTAGTAGTCTGTTGTTATTTATGTATTATTGTCATTTTGTTTATTTTCTTTGGTTACATCTTCTGACATCAGACTCGGACTTCTCTTGAACTGAATTTTAATGTGCGTATTGTTATGCGTTTACTTTTCTACATTGGCTAGAGGTATAGGGGGAGGGTTGAGATCTCATAAACATGTTTAACCCCGCCGCATTTTTGCGCCTGTCCCAAGTCAGGAGCCTCTAGCCTTTGTTAGTCTTGTATTATTTTTAATTTTAGTTTCTTGTGTACAATTTGGAGTTTAGTATGGCGTTCATTATCACTGAACTAGTATATATATTTGTTTAGGGGCCAGCTGAAGGACGCCTCCGGGTGCGGGAATTTCTCGCTGCATTGAAGACCTGTTGGTGGCCTTCTGCTGTTGTCTGTTCTGTGGTCGGGTTGTTGTCTCTTTGACACATTCCCCATTTCCATTCTCAATTTTACGTAGATGTGCATATCGACAGGAAATTACGATTCAATTTTTTTTCCAGGAGTTACTCCCCTTTGAACTTATTTGCCCAATATACTACTGCAACCTTTTGTCATCGCAACTCCTCTCAAACCACACAACAGAATTTCATGAAACCTTTTCAGATAATAAGGACATACTACGTAGATGTGCATATCGACAGGAAATTTTGATACAATTTTTTTTCCAGGAGTTACGCCCCTTTGAACTTATTTGCTTTAATGTACTACTGCAACAGTTTGTCATCGCAACTCCTCTGAAACCACACAACAGAATTTCATGAAAATTAGATAATAAGGACACTTTATGTAGTTGTGCATATCGACAGGAAATTACGATTCATTTTTTTTTCTTAGTGTTACACCCCTTTGAACTTATTTGCTTCAATGTACTTTTGCAACAGTTTGTCATCACAACTCCTCTGAAACCACACAACAGAATTTCATGAAACTTTGTTGATAATAAGGACATACTATGTAGATTTGCATATTGACAGGAAATTATGATTCAATTTTTTTTTCTTATACAATTTTTTTTTCTTACACTTATTTTATTTCTCCAATGACAATGTGGGGACGTGGGGTATGTGAGCGCGCTCACTAAGGTTCTTTAATTCAAGTTTGCCTCAGTCCATTGATATTAGGTAATTATTTGATATGATGATTGCTGAAAATAAGTTCCCTGGAGGAGAAGTTATTTAGGAGTTAACTTTATTGTATTTTAAGCTTGGACTACATAAAGGGAGGTTTTACTGTCGCAAATTGAGTTAACATTGTAGCGGTGATAGGTAAACGGTTTTACGACAATAAAACTTAGTTTGACATAGGCTTAAAATACAATACAGTTCTCTCTATTCTAATGCAACTTAATCAAAATGTCCAACTTTAATTATTATTTTGGTTTCATTTTGTCATAGATAAAAATATCCGTGAAACTTTCTTCATGTCTTTGGCATCTAATTGGAGCAAGTACACTCCCTGCTTCAAACGTAAACACTTGACTTATTTGGACTTTGGGTACACTTCAGAATGATATAAATATTGACAAAAAGAAGGTTTGTAGGTAAAAAATTTGACTCTTTGGGTTTGTTTGAAGAAATCACATACCAAAGCATTCCAGAATTAAATATAAAGGTTTACCTTAGTTACAGACCAGTACGCTGTGGAATCTACCCCCTCAAGACAAAGGCCAATCAAATTCTTTGTTACAAACAAATTGTATTAGAAATTATGATTGTTTGGGTAAGGTAATACCATATACTCATGGCACATGTTTTCTTTAAATACCCTTGAGGAAAGTTTATTTTATGGTTGGTTGGGTAAGGAGTTACGGCCAGAAATAACCTTTAAATTATAGCCAACAAAAGACACAAATCAATAATAAAATTTAACAAGATTTATTATACAATTTTACAAGAAATGTCAACTTAACTGTTAAAATATATGTATGATCCTTTGTCTTTTCTTTATCAGGAATTCTTCTCTTAACTTTAACGGAATATGTCCAATAAGTTCACAATTTAGTATGATGTAGTTAACGTAAATAAAAGTGTCAATTCAACAACTCTAGAGATCTTCTTAGAATCCAAGTATATTAATGTCTAATCTGTCTAATTTCGGTGTCTGTATATATAGTTGTCACTGAAACTTCTAGATCACTGTAGAAGGGAAACTCCTAGAAAACTATAGAAGGGAAACTCCTAGAAAACTGTAGAAGGGAAACTTCTAGAATATTATAGAAGTTTAAATTACACATCATTGATTATGATCATTCCGGAATTATTATGTTAGTCAAATAGAAAGTTCTAATCGTTCCATCAGTATCTATGATTGTTCCAGTGATTTCTAAACTGCACTATTATAACATTATTTTGTAAACAACTATAACCCAATTATATAAACATTATAAGGCCACACAAAACAAAATAGGCCAAGATAAATAAATATGATAATTACAATATCAAAACAAAGGCTATACCATATACTCATGGCACATGTTTTCTTTAAATACCCTTAAGGAAAGGTTATTTTATGGTTGGTTGGGTAAGGTTATACCATATGTACTCATGGCACATTTTTTTATATATATTCCTTAAAGAAAGGTTATTTTATGGTTGGTTGGGTAAGGTTATACCACATACTCATGGCATAGGTTTTCTTTATATTCCTTAAAGAAATGTTATTTTATGGTTGGTTGGGTAAGGTATACCATGTACTCATGGCACATGTTTTCTCTATATTGCATAAAGAAAGGTTAAGGGTAAGATATTTCTATTTACTCATGGCTAATGTATTCTATAAGTTCTCATGAAGAAAGGTTATTTTATGGATTTTGTTGTGGGTGATGTATTTAAAAAAACTTTTACAGTATTGTTCTTTGTTTCTCTTCAAGATGTAATCGACAAATAACTGCAAATTAAACAATCCTTATAACAAATAATACTACATTTGCTTTCAATGACCACACAAAAACTGTCATTACAATGTGTTTTATATTTTTTAAAGGTGACTTCCTCAACTGTTGCTGGAGAGAGTCTGCGATCTAAAAGCGTTGATGTGACATACCACTCAGACAGAATAAGAAAGGATGTGACAAACTTTGTTGCAAAATTTACCAATATCTCTTGTGTGAGCTTAACTTGGAGTTTGCTGCCCATGGAAAACAAAGTGAAGAATTATATTGTAAAATATGTTGACAGCTGGGGACAAGACCAGATAATTACTAAAGGAGATAAGGATAAATCTTGTCAAGGTATGTATACTGACAGTATGTTGGAAAATCTTGTCAAGGTATGTATACTGACAGTATGTTGGACAAATCTTGTCAAGGTAGGTATACTGACAGTATATTAGACAAATCTTGTCAAGGTAGGTGTACTGACAGTATATTAGACAAATCTTGTCAAGGTAGGTATACTGACAGTATATTAGACAAATCTTTGTCAAGGTAGGTGTGCTGACAGTATATTAGACAAATCTTGTCAAGGTAGGTGTACTGACAGGATGTTAGACAAATCTTGTCAAGGTAGGTATACTGACAGTATGTTGGAAAATCTTGTCAAGGTAGTTATACTAACAGTATGTTAGACAAATGTTGTCAAGGTAGGTGTACTGACAGTATATTAGACAAATCTTGTCAAGGTAGGTGTACTGGCAGTATGTTAGACAAATCTTGTCAAGGTAGGTATACTGACAGTATGTTGGAAAATCTTGTCAAGGTAGGTATACTGAGAATATGTTCGACAAATGTTGTCAAGGTAGTATACTGACAGTATGTTGGACAAATCTTGTCAAAGTAGGTGTACTGGCAGTATGTTAGAGAAATCTTGTCAAGATAGGTGTACTGACAGTATTTTAGACATATCTTGCCAAGGTAGGTGTACTGACAGTATTTAGACATATCTTGTCAAGGTAGGTGTACTGACAGTATGTTAGACAAATCTTGTCAAGGTAGGTGTACTTACATTATTTTAGACATATCTTGTCAAGGTAGGTGTACTGACAGTATATTAGACAAATCTTTGTCAAGGTAGGTGTGCTGACAGTATATTAGACAAATCTTGTCAAGGTAGGTGTACTGACAGGATGTTAGACAAATCTTGTCAAGGTAGGTATACTGACAGTATGTTGGAAAATCTTGTCAAGGTAGTTATACTGACAGTATGTTAGACAAATCTTGTCAAGGTAGGTGTACTGACAGTATATTAGACAAATCTTGTCAAGGTAGGTGTACTGGCAGTATGTTAGACAAATCTTGTCAAGGTAGGTATACTGACAGTATGTTGGAAAATCTTGTCAAGGTAGGTATACTGAGAATATGTTCGACAAATGTTGTCAAGGTAGTATACTGACAGTATGTTGGACAAATCTTGTCAAAGTAGGTGTACTGGCAGTATGTTAGAGAAATCTTGTCAAGATAGGTGTACTGACAGTATTTTAGACATATCTTGCCAAGGTAGGTGTACTGACAGTATTTAGACATATCTTGTCAAGGTAGGTGTACTGACAGTATGTTAGACAAATCTTGTCAAGGTAGGTGTACTTACATTATTTTAGACATATCTTGTCAAGGTAGGTGTACTGACAGTACAATGTATTTTAGACATATCTTGTCAAGGTAGGTGTACTGACTGTATATTAGAGAAATCTTGTCAAGGTAGGTGTACTGACAGTATATTAGACAAATCTTATCAAGGTAGGTATACTGACAGTATATTAGACAAATCTTGTCAAGGTAGGTGTACTGACAGTATATTAGACAAATCTTGTCAAGGTAGGTGTACTGACAGGATGTTAGACAAATCTTGTCAAGGTAGGTATACTGACAGTATGTTGGAAAATCTTGTCAAGGTAGTTATACTAACAGTATGTTAGACAAATGTTGTCAAGGTAGTATACTGACAGGATGTTAGACAAATCTTGTCAAGGTAGGTGTACTGACAGTATGTTAGACAAATCTTGTCAAGGTAGGTGTACTGACATTATTTTAGACATATCTTGTCAAGGTAGGTGTACTGACAGTACAATGTATTTTAGACATATCTTGTCAAGGTAGGTGTACTGACTGTATATTTGACAAATCTTGTCAAGGTAAGTACTGACAGTATATTAGACAAATCTTGTCAAGGTAGGTATACTGACAGTATATTAGACAAATCTTGTCAAGGTAGGTGTACTGACAGGATGATAGACAAATCTTGTCAAGGTAGGTATACTGACAGTATGTTGGAAAATCTTGTCATGGTAGTTATACTAACAGTATGTTAGACAAATGTTGTCAAGGTAGTATACTGATAGTATGTTGGACAAATCTTGTCAAGGTAGGTGTACTGACAGTATATTAGACAAATCTTGTCAAGGTAGGTGTACTGGCAGTATGTGAGACAAATCTTGTCAAGGTAGGTATACTGACAGTATGTTGGAAAATCTTGTCAAGGTAGGTATACTGAGAATATGTTAGACAAATGTTGTCAAGGTAGTATACTGACAGTATGTTGGACAAATCTTGTCAAAGTAGGTGTACTGGCAGTATGTTAGAGAAATCTTGTCAAGATAGGTGTACTGACAGTATTTTAGACATATCTTGCCAAGGTAGGTGTACTGACAGTATTTAGACATATCTTGTCAAGGTAGGTGTACTGACAGTATGTTAGACAAATCTTGTCAAGGTAGGTGTACTGACATTATTTTAGACATATCTTGTCAAGGTAGGTGTACTGACAGTACAATGTATTTTAGACATATCTTGTCAAGGTAGGTGTACTGACTGTATGTTGGACAAGTATTGTCAAGGTAGGTGTACTGACAGTATTTTAGACATATCTTGTCAAGGTAGGTGTACTGACAGTAATTTAGACATATCTTGTCAAGGTAGGTGTACTGACTGTATGTTGGACAAGTCTTGTCAAGGTAGGTATACTGATGATTTTCAAATCAAATAATTACTAAAAAAATTTCCAGTCATATACCAAGTATGAATTAATGAGGTACCAGAAGCATGTAAGACTTTAAAAGAGCTAAAAAAGTAACAATACATCAAAGCTCAGCTAGATAAAATACAACATAGAAAGAAGGCAGTGCTCCCTTAAAAAAACAATACATAACTGCATACTTAGTAGTTATCTTTTAAAAACAACCAACTACAAATTTCTAAAGAACAAAACACCGCAAGGTTCCTAAAATTCTGAAGATAGGTAGAATGTTCAACAGAAATCTAAAATGCAAATCTTGCATGTAAGCAACTTTCTTTAATGAACAGAAAATGTGGACAATGTTTTTAGTCCCCTACCAACGAAGTCGAAGGGGACTTTAGGTTTGCACTCCGTCCGTCTGTCCGTCTGTCCATCCGTCAGTCCAGCAAATCAGCTTTCCACACTTTTTTTCTTCGTTCTTGAAGATATTGATTTGATATTTGGTATATAGTTTTATCATGACAAGTTATAGATCAAGATTGAGTTTTGTTCCGTCTGATGATTTAGTCCAGAGTTATGGACCATAACTCTGGACCATATCTAATGTTAGAGTACTATGTTAAACCAGATTTCTGTACAAAGGGAGATAACTCATTTTTTAAAAGGCATTCTTTGTTAAATTATTTGAAGAATTTTTTGGCAGGTTTGTTTGTTATCTAGTATAAACTAATTTTCTGAATGCTATAGATATAAAAAAAAATTATGATAATAATCTATTTTTATTAATGTATATATTTCAATACATTACATTGTGTAGATAAAAGTTGTTGACATTTTATAGATAAGTTACAAATCTATATTAGTTTGTAACAAATGAAAGAAAAAATATTTGGAACTATTAATTATATTTGATTATAATTTGAAAATAGATATACACTGTATTACATCATATCTAATTTTAGAGAACTATTAATCATATCTAATGTTTTTTTCACTCATATAATCAGTTTTCCACACTTTTTTTAGTCATGCTTGAAGATATTGACATGATATTTACTTTTTGTTTACATCATGACAAGTTATAGAACAAGTTAGCATTTTGTTCCAGTAGAATGAATTTTTACCCGGTAGGGGACTATGTATTGCCATGCAATACTCTCAAAATGCTTGTTGTCATTACATTGTCAGTTTAATTATGTGTAAGTAAGACCAGGTCAGTAAACAGATTAACATTAACATTTACTGCTTGTTTCTCAAATCATTTTGTTATTAGTCCCCTACCGACAAAGTCGAAGGGGACTTTTAGGTTTGCACTCTGTCCGTCTGTCCGTCTGTCCATCTGTCCCTCTGTCCATCCGTCAGTCCGGCAAATCAGCTTTCCACACTTTTTTTCTTCGTTCTTGAAGATATTGATTTGATATTTGGTATATAGTTTTGCCATGACAAGTTATAGATCAAGTTCGAATTTTGTTCCCGGTCTGATGATTTAGTCCAGAGTTATGGACCATAACTCTGGACCATATCTAATGTTAGAGTACTATGTTAAACCAGATTTCTGTACAAAGGGAGATAACTCATTTTTTAAAAGGCATTCTTTGTTAAATTATTTGAAGAATTTTTTGGCAGGTTTGTTTGTTATTTAGTATAAACTAATTTTCTGAATGCTATAGATATAAAAAAAAATTATGATAATAATCTATTTTTATTAATGTATATATTTCAATACATTACATTGTGTAGATAAAAGTTGTTGACATTTTATAGATAAGTTACAAATCTATATTAGTTTGTAACAAATGAAAGAAAAAATATTTGGAACTATTAATTATATTTGATTATAATTTGAAAATAGATATACACTGTATTACATCATATCTAATTTTAGAGAACTATTAATCATATCTAATGTTTTTTTCACTCATATAATCAGTTTTCCACACTTTTTTTAGTCATGCTTGAAGATATTGACATGATATTTACTTTTTGTTTACATCATGACAAGTTATAGAACAAGTTAGCATTTTGTTCCAGTAGAATGAATTTTTACCCGGTAGGGGACTATGTATTGCCATGCAATACTCTCAGAATGCTTGTTGTCATTACATTGTCAGTTTAATTATGTGTAAGTAAGACCAGGTCAGTAAATAGATTAACATTAACATTTACTGCTTGTTTCTCAAATCATTTTGTTATTAGTCCCCTACCGACGAAGTCGAAGGGGACTTTAAGGTTTGCACTCTGTCCGTCTGTCCATCTGTCCCTCTGTCCATCCGTCAGTCCGGCAAATCAGCTTTCCACACTTTTTTTCTTCGTTCTTGAAGATATTGATTTGATATTTGGTATATAGTTTTGCCATGACAAGTTATAGATCAAGTTCGAATTTTGTTCCGGTCTGATGATTTAGTCCAGAGATATGGACCATAACTCTGGACCATATCTAATGTAAGAGAACTATTTTAAACTATATTTCTGTACAAAGGGAGATAATTCATTTTTTAAAAGACATTCTTTGTTAAATTATTTGAAGATTTTTTTGGCAGGATTGTTTGTTATTTAGTATAAACTAATTTTCTGAATACTATATATATATAAAAAAATTATGAAGTGAAATCCTTCAATTAGATAATAATCTATTTTTATTAATGTATATATATTACATTACATTGTGTAGATAAAAATTGTTGACATTTTATAGATAAGTTACAAATCTATATGAGTTTGTGACAAATAAAAGAAAAAATATTTGGAACTATTAATTATATTTGATTATAATTTGAAAATAGATATACACTGTATTACATCATATCTAATTTTAGAGAACTATTAATCATATCTAATGTTAAAGTGTTTTCCACACTTTTTTTTCATCATGCTTGAAGATATTGATTGATAATTGGTATATAGTTTTATCATGACAAGTTATACAGATCAAGTTCGAAATTTTGTTTCGGTCTGATATTTTTGTGCTGAGTTATGGTCCTTGGACTTGAAAAATTCACTCATTTAATCAGTTTTCCACACTGTTTTTAGTCATACTTGAAGATATTGACTTGATATTTTCTTTTTGTTTACACCATGACAAGTTATAGAAAAAATTAGCTTTTTGTTCCAGTATAATGAATTTTTACTCGGTAGGGGACTATGTATTACCATGCAATACTCTCAGAATGCTTGTTGTGAATAGAATGTGTATTTTATGTAATAAAATATAGTTTATCCTAGCCTATTTATCAATATTTCAGTTTGTGATCTATGTCCATCAGAGACCTACATTTTCTACATAAGTGCCAGTAACAATCTTGGTGAAGGACCATCAACAAGTGCAGCATACGTTCCATCTAAAAGTAAGTCAATGTAGTTTACATTCGAACTACTAGTAAGGAATAGTTGTAGGTTGTTAATCATGTACCACCTAGATTGATATTTGAATGAACCAGAAAGTTTTTTTTGGTAGGTAATACAAGAAGAATAATGTTTCATTATTTTCTGATCACCACCCTAATAAAAGCCTTTATCAGTCATCCCACTGTCTCAAACACTCTGCTCAGTTTTTATTATACGACCGCAAAAAAAATTGTGGTCGTATATTGGTATGACGTTGGCGTTGGCGTCGTCGTCGTCGTATGGCGTCGTGGTCCGAAGACACATTGGTTTTCGCACTCTAACTTTAGTTTAAGTGAATGGATCTTTTTGAAATTTGACCATAAGGTTTAATACCACAAAAGGAAGGTTGGGATTGATTTTGGGGGTTATGGTACCAACAGTTAAGGAATTAGGGGCCAAAAATAAGCATTTTCTAGTTTCCAGACAATAACTGTGGAACGGTGTATGGATCTCTCTGAAATTATACTACAAGTTTCCATACCACCAAGGATTTGCTTTGGGGGGTTATGGCTCAAACCGTTTAGGAATTAGGGGCAAAAAGGGGGAAAAACAAGGTTGTCCTGGTTAATGGACAAATACTTTAGTACAAAACATAATTTAAAGCAGTGTAAGGGAGATAAATCAAATACATCATTGAAATTATCTCCCTTACACTGCTTTTAAATTATGTATAAAGTAATGGTTAATGAACAATAAAGATCATTTAAAACAGTGTAAGGGAGGTAATCCAAATACAACGTTTTGGTTACTTCCCTTACACTGCTTTTAAATTATGTTTAAAGAAATGCATATTTATAAAGGAAGACCAGTAAAAATATCTGCAAATGTTGCATCTTTTTTTTTTACAAAAAAATCCATATGAAAGATTTGACACTATATTTTTAATTCTATTATAAAATAGATTAAGTTAGCACTATGGTAAATTTAAATGGGTAATTATGGTTGCCAACTCCATTGGAAATTTGAATTGAGATTATGGCCATATCTTGAGGGAAAGAATTTTTTGGGGGAAAAAAAGGGGGGGGGGGGATAAAAAGAAATTGTGGGGGGTCAATTTTTTCTCATTTCAGATTTCAGAAATTAAAAAGAATTATTCTTCAAATATTATTTTTTTTTCAAATTTCAAATATTGAAAAATTTCAAGAAGTAATCTTTAATTGCACAGTATGGCGCATTAGATTTGTAAAATCTTTGATCACATTTATTTATTTGTTATGCCGAATCTAACAGTGTATTTAGATTTTTAATTTTGGGTCCAGTTTTCAAATTGGTCTACATTAAGGTCCAAAGGGTCCAAAATTCAACTTTGTTTGATTTTAGCAAAAATTGAATATATGAGGTTCTTTGATATGCTGAATCTAAACGTGTATTTAGATTTTTGATTTTTGGCCCAGTTTTCAAGTTGGTCCAAATTGGGGTCCAAAATTAAACTTTGTTTGATTTCAACAAAAATTGAATATATGAGGTTCTTTGATATGCTGAATCTAACCATGTATTTAGAATTTTTATTTGTGGACCCCGTTATCAAATTGGTTCATATTGAGGTCAAAAGGGTCCAAAATTTAACTTTGTTTGATTTCATCTAAAATTGAATTATTGGGGTTCTTTGATATTCCAAATCTAACCGTGTATTTAGATTTTTAATTTTGGGTCCTGTTTTTTAAATTGGTCTACATTAAGGTCCAAAGGGTCCAAAATTAAACTAAGTTTGATTTTAACAAAAATTGAATTCTTGGGGTTCTTTGATATGCTGAATCTAAACATGTGTTTAGATTTTTGATTATGGGCCCAGTTTTCAAGTTGGTCCAAGATAGGGTCCAGTATTTAAACTTTGTTTGATTTCAACAAAAATTGAATATATGGGGTTCTTTGATATGCTGAATCTAAACATGTATTTAGATTTTTGATTATGGGCCCAGTTTTCAAGTTGGTCCAAATTGGGGTCCAAAATTAAACTTTGTTTGATTTCAACAAAAATTGAATATATGAGGTTCTTTGATATGCTGAATCTAACCATGTATTTAGATTTTTTATTTGTGGGCCCCGCTATCAAATTGGTTCATATTGAGGTCAAAAGGGTCCAAAATTAAACTTTGTGTGATTTCATCAAAAATTGAATTATTGGGGTTCTTTGATATGCTGAATCTAAACATGTGTTTAGATTTTTGATTATGGGCCCAGTTTTCAAGTTGGTCCAAGTTGGGGTCCAAAATTAAACTTTTTTTGATTTCAACAAAAATTGAATATATGGGGTTCTTTGATATGCTGAATCTAACCATGAATTTAGATTTTTTATTTGTGGGCCCCGCTATCAAATTGGTTCATATTGAGGTCAAAAGGGTCCAAAATTAAACTTTGTTTGATTTCATCAAAAATTGAATTATTGGGGTTCTTTGATATTCCAAATCTAACCGTGTATTTAGATTTTTAATTTTAAGTCCCGTTTTTTAAATTGGTCTACATTAAGGTCCAAAGGGTCCAAAATTAAACTTAGTTTGATTTTAGAAAAAATTGAATTCTTGGGGTTCTTTGATATGCTGAATCTAAGCATGTGTTTAGATTTTTGATTATGGGCCCAGTTTTCAAGTTTGTCCAAGTTGGGGTCCAAAATTAAACTTTGTTTGATTTTAACAAAAATTGAATATATGGGGTTCTTTGATATGCTGAATCTAACCATGTATTTTGATTTTGGACATTGGACCATAATAGGTAAATTAAAAAAATTCAAGTTCTTAGACCACATTCTTTCTGTGTCAGAAACCTATGCTGTGTCAAATATTTAATAACAATCCAAATTCAAAGCTGTATCAAGCTTGAATGTTGTGTCCATACTTGCCCCAACTGTTCAGGGTTCGACCTCTGCGGTCGTATCAAGCTGCGCCCCAGCGAAGCATTTTATTCAAATTGCATATCACTGCTTTGTGACGTCAAATACATTGACCTGGCCTTAATAACTTTGACCCGGACATATCACTGACGTCATAATGAATGAACCAATGTTGAAAAGTTTGACCTGAACTTATCAAGTCATCTTCCAGTTTGCTGGTGAAACAAAGAAAAACACTTGTTTCTATCATGCAAAATACGCAAACAAACTCGATAAATTGATTATCTGGTTGTCTGCATTTTTATATTGTGAAATATCAGTTGCTCAACACAATATGAAGCCTTTTTGAACTTGTTTGCTGTGCTCACTCGACAAAAAGCTTCATATTGTGACTCACTGCTGATATACAATATTAATATGCAGACAGCCTGACAATCGATCGGTACGACATTTAACATGATAATAATAGAAAGGTATATTTAGTTGCTGTGGGGGTTAAGCTTTTAATTGGATCGTTGAAGACCTTCCAGCAATTTTCAAGATGAAGAGAAGCAATAGCAGTTCCTTTGATGTTTTTATTAGTGTTTTATAAGATTTTATATTTTTGTTCTTCCATCTGACATCCTATCTTTTCATATTTTGGTATAGAACACTAATGTACCATAGATCAGTAATGATAACAGCCTGCTCAAGTCAATACTGTGGTTTCCTTTAATGTTTTCATGGGTACCAATTTTCGTGGATTAAAGAAAAATTATATTTTCCTTGATACTTGATTTCATGGTTTTGCCAAAGTTTGCATACAATTCTATGAGATATTTGTACTTCGTTGAACATTTATATTTGTGGTTCATCTATACCCACGAAATCCATGTTATTTGGTACTCAACAATAAAGAATTCACACTATTAAACATGATTGATTTAAACGGAATGATAAACAGTGAGCCAGTTGAAAACAAATGTCACTCTCGATTAAGTCATGTTGCAAAACAATAACTAAATATTCCTTTATGTACCACAGTATCAACTCCTTAATAAAACATTAGATTTATGATTTCACATTAAGTTTGAGATAATCATTGTCTGGATTTTTTTATATGAATGCAAAAATTTTTGAGGACATATATTGGTATTCCTCGTCGTCGTCCGAAGATTTTGGTTTCCGGACAATGACTTTAGTAAATGTACATAGAAATCTATGAAATTTAAACACAAGGTTTATAACCACAAAAGGACGGTTGAGATTGCTTTTGGGTGTTATAGTTCTAACAGTTTAGGAATAAGGGGCCTTAAAGGGGCCCAAATAAGCATTTTTCTAGTTTCCAGACAATAACTTGTGTAACGGTATATGGATCTCTCTGAAATTATACCACAACTTCAAGTTTCCATACCACAAAGGGATGGTTAGGATTTGCTTTAGGAATTAGGGGCAAAAAAGGAGGAAAAACAAGGGTTTCCTGGTTAATGGATAATTTAAAAGCAGTGTAAGGGAGGTAATCCAAACACAGTTAAAGTACAATGTTGTGTGTATTTTGATTTACCTCCCTTACACTTTTTCAAATTATGTATAAAGAAATGTTGTACTGTCTTGAGGTGATTAGCTGTCAATTTATTTTTAGATAATAGAAGTAACTATTAAAGGAATATTAATTTTAGCCATGATTATGTATGTCATTTTCTATTTTAAGACTTTTATGATGTATTTAAATTGGTAATTATGGTTGCAAACAGGGATGGGGTAATCGTAATCTGTAATCGTAATCGATTGTAATTGATTACATTTTTTCCAGTAATCGACATTAATCTGTAATCGAAGACATTTTCGATTACATGTAATCGTAATTTAATCGATTACAGCAAAAATCATGATGTAATCATCGATTACTTTCGATTACATTTCAATTACTTTAGTAAAATAGTTTGATGAAATATAACCTATTTTAAATGAAAACATGTATGTATTCATCACTTTGAAGTACTGATATGACTGAAGAGTTTATCAACTGCCTTTATATTTCTATCTATTGTCTCAAGCTGCATTATGATCAACCAGATCCCCTACCATAATTTACTTTATATCTAGCTTTTGAAACAAATGGATTTATGTGCTTGTCAATAAGTCAACACCTTTTATATTAAAATAAGAAAATAGATTTAAAATAAGAAATGTGTCTTAAGTTAAGTTCTGTACTTCCTTAAAGTAGTAATAAAATTGAGAATGGAAATGTAAGCTTATTTGTATTATATTTTCTAAAAGCATAATTTTCAATAAGATTTAAGCCTAGAATAGATAAACAGTTGATTTCTTATAATGTTATGATATACATGTATACAAAAAATAAGAAAGTACACAAAATCCTTTTAACAATGAAACAATGCCTATGCATTGAAATTCTTTTCAGAAAAAGATACATGTATCCCTCGTTGACACTATAAATATATACTGTTTATAATTTTATTAAAGAATAAAAAAATCTTAACAAACTTCTTGTCTTTACTAATCAGATGATCACTTCTAATCACTATATAAGACACATACTTTGTTTTAATTTCAATTACTGTTTGTCTAATTAAGATTACATTATTTTGCCCCAGGTTATAAATTGTACTCCATTGGCAGTTTTATAACCTATAATTAAGGTGGTTATCCAACTAAAGGATTAAATCATGTCTGTCATTATAATTATAAATTTTGATCTTTAAAATTAGCTGAACTAGTTAATAATTCTACTTTTTTTATATGTTCTTCAGAGAAAACTTCCAACATTGTAAATAACTATGCCAAAATATACCTGCTTTTAATGAATAAAAACAAAAAAGCTAACTTAAGTCAGTACGAAAGCAAAATTATTGAAAAAACCTTAAACATACATATAAGTGATTGATGGAATGCGATGTTATCTCTAATTCATGTTGAAAGTCAAAATTTCAAGATTTTTTTTAATAATTCTGGTCCTCAGTAAGAGATTCCATCTAGATAACAACTGTCAACTTATAATTTGGAAACAATGCTTTAAACGCTGTTTTTTTGGTAAAGTTCTAAATTTCCACTAGACAAACGTTGATCAAAATAATTGTGTTTAACTTACTTTATTTTTTTTTAAAATTTTGAAGCATGTAATTGACAGTAATCGAAAAGTAATGTAATTACTTTTGATAAAGTAATCGATTGCAATCGATTACATACAAAAATCTGAGTAATTGATTATTAATCGATTGCACAAAATACCTTCATGTAATCGATTATTAATCGATTACATTTGTCAGCAATCGTGCCCATCCCTGGTTGCAAACTCCATTGGAAATTTGAATAGAGGTTTTGACCATATCTTGAGGGAAAGAATTTTTGTTTTGGAAAGGGGGAGGGGGGGTGTCAATATGCAATGCAACAGCATAGTGTTTTGCACAAAAGCAAAAAAAAAGGGGGGTACATTTTTTTTTTTGGGGGGGGGAGGGGTCAATTTGAACAGCATAGTGTATTGCACAAAAGCTAAAAATTGAATATAAATTCAAATCATATAACCAATTCTAAGTTCTATGACTACAGTTATTCTGTGTCTGAAACCTATTATGTGTCAAATGTTTAATTACAATCCAAATTCAGACCTGTATCAAGCACGAATATTGTGCCCAAACTGTTCAGGGTTGGACCTCTGCGGTCGTATTCAGCTGCGCTCAGTGAAGCATTTTATTGTATATTGATGTGATTCTGTTATATTCATTGCAGACAAACTATCATTTAGAACTTTTTATTTTTAATTTTCAGGAACATTTTCTTACCTGCCCACATGGAATGAAGCAATTTTCCAGTCATTGGATAATGGTGTTTATCAAATAAAATGGAACCCACCAAACCTTGCTGCTGATAAAAACATAAAACTGGTAAGTTAGTGGTTATGAACACTAAGTTGAGCTGAATGAAAATTTCTGTAACTTTGAAAGGAGAAAAATTGAAGGAGAACAAACTGAATATGTGAATGCTGACATTAATTTGTCAACAGAAACCCATGGAGGCGTAGATGGCATTAAGTTTGACCCTTGTCCGTATGAACGTCCGTCCGCAATCCGTACGTCAATATGTCCCAAAATTAGTTTTCATTCTCTAATTAAAGTTTGCCTCAACCCAATGTTATGAAACTTATACACAATGCATGGCAAGAAAAGTTCTGATTTTTATTTTACAGACCTATACACTTTTCTATGACTACAATCCACAAGATATGGAAGGAAACAACTATGCTACAAAGGCTTTAAATAAAACTGTTGCTGGGCAGGCTTATACTGTTGTACAAAATCTACGGGCATGTGAATCTTATTCATTTCTAGTGGCTGTTTCCAAACCAGGACGTTGTCCACCATCCAGACAACAAAAAGCAATGCAGACAGGAGAAGGTACAGTAAAAAAATTCTTTTCCTAGATAGCTGAATTAGTTTATATCAATGCTATTCAGAAGTATCTCAATGTTTTCAATGCCAATTGAAAAAAGGCTAGCATTTTACATTGATTATTGATAACAGTGATTTTATTTTAAACTTATAGTAAAACCTCCATATTACACACTTTAAACATAAATTTAATCATGATAAGTAAAGCAGGCGAGACATTTCAGCGTGTGTTCTCTTGTTTAAATTTCAGTCTTTGAGAATTTCTGGCTGATAAGATCAGCAGACTTTGACCTCATTTTCTTTGTTATTTATTCACATTATTTTGTTATGCAAAGGTCAGTTTCTAAGTTTAATTTTAAACTTGGGTGGTAGAATTATTGTGAGGTTTACTTTCTGTCTATCAGGATTCACTTTATTGTTATGATTTGTTTCAGGGTCTTCTGACCTTGACCTCATTTTTATGGCCATTCATTCCCATTGAGTTAATTTATTACATCTGATTTGAAAATACTTAGTTAGTTAGACCTACTATTCTTTTATATAATTACAATGTTATTCACTTTACAAGGTTGCTTTCATCATATTAATTAATAACATTTTCATACGTCATTCATGTATATGCAATAGCTATGTAGTACTGTGAATTCAGAAATTATTGGGAGAACTTATTATTGCTATTTTGACATGACCAACCAAAAGTTGAGATTAATTATTGTAATTTAAGGAAAATCTGCATACAGATATATGTATCAGATATCAAAATGCGAGATTTTATTATTGCGATACTCACTCAGTCATTTTATTTGCACTAATAAAAACCTCGCAATTATTTTTTTCGAATTTACAGTATTTGAATTTTTTTTTCTCTCAGATGATACTGCACAACCAGAGAATATAGAACCTGTATTTGACAAGAAAAATCCAACATCATTACAAATATCCTGGAATGCTGGATGCTATGACCCTGGTGCGCCATTGGTAAGTATTGATGGATGTGATTGACTAAATATGATTTGTACATAAAAATTTTCACAAGTTAAGTTAACAAAAAATAAAAAAAAAAACACAATGCTGCCGGTACTGCATAATCTTTCTGGACAGCTGAGTTCAATAACTGGTTTATAAAGGGTTCAGCTTGCTGAATTTGTTTACTTATGTATCTGTGTGTGAGATTTTTTTCATAAAATCATCAATAATGCAGTTCTCTTACAGTATATAATTTTATGATGAACTGTAACAACTTCAGATGTATCTTAAAGGAAATTTAATACAATGATCAGTTTAGGGCAGTTACATGTACTTAAAAGATATTTTATTGTCAAAACAAGTAAAATTACAAAGGATAAAACTCGAGTTATGTCAGTTTGTTTAAAGTAATAGGTCAACTATATGTATTTCTCTCCACCATACGGCCTTCAACAATGAGAAAAATACATTACCATGTTCATTTGATGTGGGTAACCTCATCTTGGCTGGATGCTATGGCTCATTTATATTATCTCCATAGATAAGACATAATATATCTATTGCATCTTACATAATTGTGAGTCAGTTGTAAGTTTGATAGATATTTTTTTGCTTTGACTTTTCTTATAGACTTTTAACATGACTTTTAACAATTTAGGATTTTCAGTCTTGTACATTTCAATGACCCTATATTTCAGGGTTATATTGTAAACTTGACAGAAGTCAAAACAGGAAAAAGTAGTATCAAGCAGACAATTCCCACTAAAGACAGTACAGTGTATTACAACTTCACAACTGGTCTCAAGAGAGGAGCGACTTATACTTTGACTATAAAGAATGATTTGTCCAAAGCACGCTGGTCAGAACCACTTAGTATAACAGTGTGTAAGTAATATTCATAGACAATTGCACTCTAGTGACAACTCAATACAAAAGTAAGTAAGATATGTTCATAGAAAATAACACACTGGTCAGAGTTCAAATCAACAATGGAATGCAGGTCTGACTCACTGAATTTCACTTTGTAGAAGTATCTATAAACATTACATAGAACTGGTGATCTTGTCTTTGACTTCAATTCTGTGGGTAAGTGACCTTAAAATCTGTGTTAAGTTATATTAGCAGTATTAGCTGTATTGGTTCTATTTACAATGTATTTTTAACATGTGCTTACATGTTTGTAAGGTGTGATTGATCAGGATCTTATTTCCACCAGTCTGAGATTCCTGATATGGGAATTGGAATTATTGAAAGGTGTGTCTGTGTGTTAGTGATTTATTTTATGGTTATCTACACTGATTTCAGGCCTTTCAGTCATAACACTAAACTCTTAACTTGGAGTACAAAATATCTGCCCGAAACACCAAATCCAGTATTTGATTGATAATTGGTTAACAATGTTTTCTTGGGATAACAATTTGCTCCATAACCAGCAATGTGTTATTTATATAGTGTTGTTCATATTGAATCACATTCATTGTTTAATTTCTAGTGCCTTATGGAGCACCTGAGGAATTTAAGGAAATACTGGAGGAAGATGACAAGATTAAACTCTTCTGGAATCCTCCAAGTCAAGCAGTAGGACATGTTCAGGTTTGTATGAGTTATGTGGGAAATATATACCTGAATTATATGCATGTTTTAGATATTTAGAGAAAGAGAAAATTTAAGGTAGTACATAACACTACAGGGTGATAACTCTGTAAAAATCAGCTGAACGTTTTAATCACGTTCTATTGTTAAGCTTCTCAATGATCAAAATTAGTGTTTGTCAAACTGCTATATATCCAATGAAGCTTTTCGGATAAAGTTTGTGGTTCAAGTTTTTTGAAATTTTTATATTTTTGTCAAAATTTTATGAAAATTTAACGAGCCAAATTAATTTTAGTCATGGTGTTTGGTACCACCTTAAAGATACCAGATCAAGTCTGACATTAAATTGATGAATCTTACAGATTAGTTCATACCTGATAAACCAAATGTGCTATTACTAAGCCAGCAGGTTATAGTTTATTGTCTTTCAGTTTTATGAATAAAAGATGATGTGGAGCATATGTTAATTAGATTGAAATCTAACAACACAAATAAACAAAAGACATCTATAGGACAACATATACTCTGAAAAAGTAGACAGGCTTCTAAACAATATTTTAAGCTCAATCATCCTGAGTATGTATTTTTTTTATTATTATTAGATTTGGTTGCTTCTTGTGTTTTTTATAATGTTTCACAAATTGTTAGTGAGTGTCTTTTTGTAGCATTCATGAAGGTATTGGGTCAGCTCACTGACCAGTTGATATGTTAATGCCCAGTTTTATGTCCTTGGAATTTTGTGGATAGTCTTCTCATTCTGTGTCATGTCATGCTTTTTATGGGAAACACAAACAAACATTCAGTTGTATTGAAAAAGCACAAACATTCAGTTGTATTGAAAAAGCACAAACATTCAGTTGTATTAAAAAAGCACAAACATTCAGTTGTATTAAAAAAGCACAAACATTCAGTTGCATTGAAAAAGCACAAACAAATACATGAACCCCCCACCCCCCCCCCCCCCCCCAAAAAAAAACACCCCAAAAAAACCAAGACTGGTTAACATGAAACAGGAAACCCAATAAAACCCCAAAACTGAGTGATATGAACCATTTGGAAATCTCCTAAAACTGGATGACATGAACCCTGAAGCTTGGGTGAAGTGAACTACTGATGAATCCAAAGTCTGGTTGAATCTAAAAGAAGGAAAAGAAAAAATAATTGTAGTCAGACAAGTTTTAAGAGACTGAGATCTGTAAAGAATACCTGTCACTTTGTATTTTTCTCTGTTTATTTTTAGAAATATGAGATATATTGGAAGAGACTGAAATCTATTAGAATACCTGTCACTTTGTTTTTTCTCTGTTTATTTATAGAAATATGAGATATATTGGAAGAGACTGAAATCTATTAGAATACTTGTCACTTTGTTTTTTCTCTGTTTATTTATAGAAATATGAGATATATTGGAAGAGACTGAAATCTATTAGAATACCTGTCACTTTGTTTTTTCTTTGTTTATTTATAGAAATATGAGATATATTGGAAGAGACTGAAATCTATTAGAATACCTGTCACTTTGTTTTTTCTCTGTTTATTTATAGAAATATGAGATATATTGGAATAGACTGAAATCTATTAGAATACCTGTCACTTTGTTTTTTCTCTGTTTATTTATAGAAATATGAGATATATTGGAAGAGACTGAAATCTATTAGAATACCTGTCACTTTGTTTTTTCTCTGTTTATTTATAGAAATACGAGATATATTGGAAGAGACTGAAATCTATTAGAATACCTGTCACTTTGTTTTTTCTTTGTTTATTTATAGAAATATGAGATATATTGGAAGACTGAAATCTATTAGAATACCTGTCACTTTGTTTTTTCTCTGTTTATTTATAGAAATATGAGATATACTGGAAGAGACAGGGGCATTAGCTATGAGATACAAAAAAATTGAAATATGATTTAGTTTTTGTTTAATCATTAAAATGAAAGTGAAATAGTGAAGTAATAATTTGCAGCCAATTTGGTTCAATTTTGTCAAAATAAGAAAAGAAACATCGCTGATGAATTATTTGATTTGCAAGTTAATAATTTGACCTCATTGAATCTGTATTCATGTGGCCTTCAATTTAACCCCTTAGCTAGAGATGGGTTACGCATAAACTAGGCGTGTTCAGCTATTAAAAGGAAAACAATGTCAAAATTAAAAGTGGTTGACTGATTCGATCCACAAAAACTCATTCTTATACAGGTAAAAATGATGATTAACATATTTTTTTAACCTATTGTATGAAATCAAACAGACCTAGAAAAATCCAATTGCATGTGTTTTCTATTTATTTATAACTCTATTTATGGTTATATCGGGTTATGACAGTCGGCAGTCTTAGGAGGTCACCTCTATGGTGAATTAGATGGCGTCTAGACTAAAATACACATGAAATGCTGATACATATTATAAGCCCATGCATCGTAAATGGTTTATTTTAGACTTTTTATAATTTGGATGTACGTTTTAGTATGTTATAAATCAAATATGAGCATTTGAGTCAAATCGGTAAATTTAATTTGACAGCTAATGCCCCTTAAAAAATACCTGTCACTTTGTATTTTCTCTGTTTATTTATAGAAATCTGAGTTATATTGGAAGAGACTGTGATCAGTTAAAAAAACCTGTCACTTTGTTTTTTTCTCTGTTTATTTATAGAAATATGAGTTAATTGGAAGAGACTGAAATCTGTTAGAACACCTGTCACTTTGTATTTTCTCTGTTTATTTATAGAAATATGAGTTATATTGGAAGACACTGGGATCTGTTAAGGATGACAATCATTTTGAAAAATTAAAAGATATTAGTAAAGACCAGACATGGTACAATGTTGATACAGTCCAAGGAACTGAATATTCCTTCAAAATTCGTATAATAGATGACAATGGCTATCCAGGGGAATTTGCAGAGGAGCCTTTCCTTGACACACACAGTAAGATATTAAATAAATAACTATTTGAAATTTAAACCAGAACAAATACAGTTGCTAAAACCTATTCACCAGTCATGGTGTGAAACGAGTTATTCTACCTTAACATTTGTTTTAAATTTCCCATAGCCAGCTGATCAAATTTGAATATAGTGTTTACTTATTCTCTGTCTTCAGGATCAATTTAACCCTTAACCCTTGCAAGAAAAGTTCATATATTGAAATTGCAACCAAAAAAACCCTGCAAAAATATCCATGTCACATGTAACAATAAATGAAAATATGATTATATCAAATTTTATTGCCATCCTCATTTTGCTATTGTGTCATTACCAAAAAAGGCAACCATTGCTGATGGCTCCACATACAAAGTTCAGATGTTCTGCAATTTATTGGAAAAGAGCCTAAAAGTTAGCTTGCCTTTTTAGCTCACCTGGCCCACAGGGCCAAGTGAGCTTTTCTCATCGTTTGGCGTCCGTCGTCCGTCGTCGTCGTCCGTCGTCGTTAACTTTTACAAAAATCTTCTCCTCTGAAACTACTTGGCCAAATTTAACCAAAGTTGGCCTAAATCATCATTGGGGTATCTAGTTAAAAAAATGTGTCCGGTGACCTGGCCAACCAACCAAGATGGCCGCCATGGCTAAAAATAGAACATAGGGGTAAAATGTAGATTTTGGCTTATATCTCTGAAACCAAAGCATTTAGAGCAAATCTGACATGGGGGTAAAATTGTTTATCAGGTCAAGATCTATCTGCCCTGAAATTTTCAGATGAATCGGACAACCCGTTGTTGGGTTGCTGCCCCTGAATTGGTAATTTTAAGAAAATTTTGCAGTTTTTGGTTATTATCTTGAATATTATTATAGATAGAGATAAACTGTAAACAGCAATAATGTTCAGCAAAGTAAGATCTACAAATAAGTCAACTTGACCAAAATGGTCAGTTGACCCCTTAAGGAGTTATTGCCCTTTATAGTCAATTTTTAACCATTTTTCGTAAATTTTTGTAATCTTTTACAAAAATCTTCTCCTCTGAAACTACTTGGCCAAATTTAACCAAACTTGGCCACAATCATCATTGCGGTATCTAGTTTAAAAAATGTGTCCAGTGACTCCGGCCAACCAACCAAGATGGCCACCATGGCTAAAAATAGAACATAGGGGTAAAATGTAGATTTTGGCTTATATATCTGAAACCAAAGCATTTAGAGCAAATCTGACAGGGGTAAGATTGTTCATCAGGTCAAGATCTATCTGCCCTGAAATTTACAGATGAATCGGACAAGCCGTTGTTGGGTTGCTGCCCCTGATTTGGTAATTTTAAGAAAATTTTGCAGTTTTTGGTTATTATCTTGAATATTATTATAGATAGAGATAAACTGTAAACAGCAATAATGTTCAGCAAAGTAAGATCTACAAATAAGTCAACTTGACCAAAATGGTCAGTTGACCCCTTAAGGAGTTATTGCCCTTTATAGTCAATCTTTAACCATTTTTCGTAAATTTTTGTAATCTTTTACAAAAATCTTCTCCTCTGAAACTACTTGGCCAAATTTAACCAAAGTTGGCCTAAATCATCATTGGGGTATCTAGTTTAAAAAATGTGTCCAGTGACCCGTCCAACCAACCAAGATGGCCACCATGGCTAAAAATAGAACATAGGGGTAAAATGTAGATTTTGGCTTATATATCTGAAACCAAAGCATTTAGAGCAAATCTGACCGGATAAAAATTGTTTATCAGGTCAAGATCTATCTGCCCTGAAATTTTCAGATGAATTGGACAAGCCGTTGTTGGGTTGCTGCCCCTGATTTGGTAATTTTAAGAAAATTTTGCAGTTTTTGGTTATTATCTTGAATATTATTATAGATAAAGATAAACTGTAAACAGCAATAATGTTCAGCAAAAAAAGTAAGATCTACAAATAAGTCAACTTGACCAAAATGGTCAGTTGACCCCTTAAGGAGTTTTTGCCCTTTATAGTCAATTTTTAACCATTTTTCGTAAATTTTTATACGACCGCAAAAATTAAAAATTTTTTGGTCGTATATTGGTATGACGTTGGCGTCGTCGTCGTCGTCGTCTGGCGTCGTCCGGCGTCGTCCGAAGACACATTGGTTTTCGCACTCTAACTTTAGTTAAAGTAAATGGATCTCCATGAAATTTTACCATAAGGTTCAATACCACGAAAGGAAGGTTGGGATTGGTTTTGGGGGTTATGGTACCAACAGTTAAGGAATAAGGGGCCAAAAAGGGGCCAAAAATAAGCATTTTTGTAACTTTCAGACAATAACTTGTGTGTAAGTGTATGGATCTCTCTGACATTGTACCACAAGGTTCCATATCACAAAGGGAAGGCTGTAATTGATTTTGGGGGTAATTGCCTCAAAATTTTAGGAATTAGGGGCCAAAAAAGGGGCAAAAAACAAGCATTTTTCTAGTTTCATGACAATAACTTGTGTGTAAGTGTTTGGATATTTCTGAAATTGTACTACAAGGTTTCATATCACAAAGGGAAAGCTGGAATTGAGTTCGGGGGTAATTGCCTGAAAGGTTTAGGAATTGGGGGCCAAAAAGGGGCCAAAAATAAGCATTTTTCTAGTTTCAAGACAATAACTTGTGTTCAAGTGTATGGATCTCTCTGAAATTGTACTGCAAGGTACCATACCACAAAGGGAAGGCTGGGATTGAGTTTGGGGTTGATGAATCATAAGGGGGTTCAAAAAATTTGGGGGGGGGGATTTTTTTTTTTTTTTTTCTTTTTTTTTCTTTTAAAATTTTCCATTTTAAGTTGGTTATTTCTGATTTATATTTAAAAACAAATAATAATGATATGGTAGGAGATACACACCAAACAGGATGTGTGAATTTTTATATAATAAGTATTGTGCAATAGCAAGAAATTTTCAATTGCACAGTATTGCACAATAGGAAGAAATCTTGAATTGCACAGTATTGCGCAATAGCAAGAAATCTTCAATTGCACAGTATTGCGCAATAGCAAGAAATATCCAATAGCACAATATTGCGCAATAGCAAGAAATTGTCAATTGTACAGTATTGCGCAATAGCAAGAAATATTCAATTGCACAGTATTGTGCTAAAGAAGATACTTCTTATAAATTGCTTATTTCTTGATCAATTTCAATGGGGTTTTATTCTTGAATTCTTGGGGTTCTTTAATATGCTGAATATAACTGTGTATTAAGTTTTTGGATTTTGGGCCCCGTTTTTAAATTGGTCCACATTGAGGTCCAAAGGGTCCAAAATTTAACTTTGTTTGATTTCATCAAAAATTGAATTATTGGGGTTCTTTGATATGCCGAATCTAACCGTGTATTTAGATTCTTAATTTTTATACGACCGCAAAAATAAAAATTTTTTGGTCGTATATTGGTATGACGACGTTGGTGTCGTCGTCGTCGTCTGGCGTTGTCCGGCGTCGTCCGAAGACACATTGGTTTTCGCACTCTAACTTTAGTTTAAGTGAATGGATCTCCATGAAATTTTACCATAAGGTTCAATACCACGAAAGGAAGGTTGGGATTGATTTTGGGGGTAATGGTACCAACAGTTAAGGAATTAGGGGCCAAAAAGGGGTCAAAAATAAGCATTTTTGTAACTTCCAGACAAAAACTTGTGTGTAAGTGTATGGATCTCTCTGACATTGTACCACAAGGTTCCATATCACAAAGGGAAGGCTGTAATTGATTTTGGGGGTAATTGCCTCAAAATTTTAGGAATTAGGGGCCAAAAAAGGGGCAAAAAACAAGCATTTTTCTAGTTTAATGACAATAACTTGTGTGTAAGTGTTTGGATATTTCTGAAATTGTACTACAAGGTTCCATATCACAAAGGGAAAGCTGGAATTGAGTTTGGGGGTAATTGCCTGAAACGTTCAGGAATTGGGGGCCAAAAAGGGGCCAAAAATAAGCATTTTTCTAGTTTCCAGACAATAACTTGTGTTCAAGTGTATGGATCTCTCTGAAATTGTACTGCAAGGTACCATACCACAAAGGGAAGGCTGGGATTGAGTTTGGGGGTGATGAATCATAAGGGGGTCCAAAAAATTTGGGGGGGGGATTTTTTTTTCTTCTTTTTTTCCTTTTTTTTTCTTTTAAAATTTTCCATTTTGAGTTGGTTATTTCTGATTAATATTTAAAAGCAAATAATAATGATATGGTAGGAGATACACACCAAACAGGATGTGTAAATTATTATATAATAAGTATTGTGCAATAGCAAGAAATTTTCAATTGCACAGTATTGCACAATAGCAAGAAATCTTCAATTGCACAGTATTGCGCAATAGCAAGAAATCTTCAATTGCACAGTATTGCGCAATAGCAAGAAATATCCAATAGCACAAAATTGCGCAATAGCAAGAAATTGTCAATTGTACAGCATTGCACAATAGCAAGAAATATTCAATTGCACAGTATTGTGCAAAAGAAGATACTTCGTATAAATTGCTTATTTCTTGATCAATTTCAATGGGGTTTTATTCTTGAATTCTTGGGGTTCTTTAATATGCTGAATCTAACTGTGTATTAAGTTTTTGGATTTTGGGCCCCGTTTTTAAATTGGTCCACATTGAGGTCCAAAGGGTCCAAAATTTAACTTTGTTTGATTTCATCAAAAATTGAATTATTGGGGTTCTTTGATATGCCGAATCTAACCGTGTATTTAGATTCTTAATTTTTGGTTCCGTTTTCAAATTGGTCTACATTAAGGTCCAAAGGGTCCAAAATTAAACTTAGTTTGATTTTAACAAAAATTGAATTTTTAGGGTTCTTTGATATGCTGAATCTAAACATGTATTTAGATTTTTTATTATGGGCCCAGTTTTCAAGTTGGTCCAAATCGGGGTCCAAAATTAAACTTTGTTTGATTTCAACAAAAATTGAATATATGGGGTTCTTTGATATGCTGAATCTAACCATGTATTTAGATTTTTGATTTTTGGGCCCCGTTATCGACTTTGTCCACATTGAGGTCAAAAGGGTCCAAAATTAAACTTAGTTTGATTTTAACAAAAATTGAATTTTTAGGGTTCTTTGATATGCTGAATCTAAACATGTATTTAGATTTTTGATTATGGGCCCAGTTTTCAAGTTGGTCCAAATCGGGGTCCAAAATTAAACTTTGTTTGATTTCAACAAAAATTGAATATATGGGGTTCTTTGATATGCTGAATCTAACCATGTATTTAGATTTTTGATTTTTGGGCCCTGTTATCGACTTTGTCCACATTGAGGTCAAAAGAGTCCAAAATTAAACTTTGTTTGATTTCATCAAAAATTGAATTCTTGGGGTTCTTTGATATGCTGAATCTAACCATGTATGTAGATTTTTGATTTTTGGGCCCCGTTATCAACTTTGTCCACATTGAGGTCAAAAGGGTCCAAAATTAAACCTTGTTTGATTTCATCAAAAATTGAATTCTTGGGGTTCTTTGATATGCTGAATCTAACCATGTATTTAGATTTTGGATATTGGACCATAATAGGTGAATGTCCAATTTAAAATTTTTAAGTTCTTAGACCACATTCATTCTGTGTCAGAAACCTATGCTGTGTCAAATATTTAATCACAATCCAAATTCAGAGCTGTATCAAGCTTGAATGTTGTGTCCATACTTGCCCCAACTGTTCAGGGTTCGACCTCTGCGGTCGTATCAAGCTGCGCCCTGCGGAGCATTTTATTGTAATCTTTTACAAAAATCTTCTCCTCTGAAACTACTTGGCCAAATTTAACCAAACTTGGCCACAATCATCATTGGGGTATTTAGTTTAAAAAATGTGTCCGGTGACCCGGCCAACCAACCAAGATGGCCGCCATGGCTAAAAATAGAACATAGGGTAAAATGCAGTTTTTGGCTCATATCTCTGAAACCAAAGCATTTAGAGCAAATCTGACATTGGGTAAAATTGTTTATCAGGTCAAGATCTATCTGCCCTGAAATTTTCAGATGAATTGGACAAGCCGTTGTTGGGTTGCTGCCCCTGATTTGGTAATTTTAAGAAAATTTTGCAGTTTTTGGTTATTATCTTGAATATTATTATAGATAGAGATAAACTGTAAACAGCAATAATGTTCAACAAAGTAAGATCTACAAATAAGTCAACTTGACCAAAATGGTCAGTTGACCCCTGAAGGAGTAATTGCCCTTTATAGTCAATTTTTAACCATTTTTCGTAAATTTTGTAATCTTTTACAAAAATCTTCTCCTCTGAAACTACTTGGCCAAATTTAACCAAACTTGGCCACAATCATCATTGGGGTATCTAGTTTAAAAAAATGTGTCCGGTGACCCGGCCTGCTAACCAAGATGGCCGCCATGGCTAAAAAATAGTACATAGGGTAAAATGCAGTTTTTGGCTCATATCTCTGAAACCAAAGCATTTAGAGCAAATCTGACGGGATAAAATTGTTCATTAGGTCAACATCTATCTGCCCTGAAATTTTCAGACCAATCAGGCAACAAGTTGTTGAGTTGCTGCCCCTGAATTGGTAATTTTAAGAAAATTTGGCAGCTTTTGGTTATTATCTTGAATATTATTATAGATAGAGATAAACTGTAAACGTCAATAATGTACAGCAAAGTAAGATCTACAAATAAGTCAACATGATCAAAATTGTCAATTGTCCCCTTAAGGAGTTATTGCCCTTTATAGTAAATTTTTTACAATTTTCATAAATTTTGTAAATTTTTGTAAATTTTTACATAATATTTTCCACTGTAACTACTGGGCCAAGTTCATTATAGATAGAGATAATAGTAAGGAGCAAGAATGTTCAGTAAAGTAAGATCTACAAACACATCACCATCACCGAAACACAATCTTGTCATGAATCCATCTGTGTCCTTTGTTTGATATGCACATAGACCAAGGTGAGCGACACAGGCTCTTTAGAGCCTCTAGTTTTCAACTAAGATTATTTTTTTAGTCACTCATGTGTGTTGTTGTTTAGCTATGTATGCATAAACAATTGGTTATCACTTTAGGACCAGAGGCACATAGCCAGACAGACATCAAGATATCTAGAACCAGAATGATTGCCATCATTGTTTCTGTGACTGGAGTTGTTATTACATTGGTGCTTGTCTTGGGTTTCTTCATTATCAGACACAGAAGACTCCAGAGGAGTTTCTTGGCATTTGCCAACAGTCATTATGATACAAGATCTGGGACTACAACATTTGAGAGTAATGAATTGGGTTAGTATTTTACAAATCTTTCAGATATTATGTTATTGTATAGCGTTTAAACCAGATTTTATAGCTTAAATCATAACATTCCCAAGTATATTTAATTTTAATTGTTTTCAAGGCAGAAAAATACAAAAGTCATTGAAGTAATCAATTTTAAAAGTGAAACCGGTGTGACCCTTGAAATGATTACATAAATGTTTGATTTGTATTCATGGATTTTCCCAGGGTTTATTGCAATACACATTCAGAGTCAATATTTTAAAAAGTTCAATATTTGTTGTTGGCAGAGTACAGTTTACACAGTGTCAATAACAATACACAAATAGGGAGATGAATGGGACTGTTGTTTAAATAAGCTCAGTTTAGTATGAAATTTGTTTTTGTCAGGGTTCAGTTTTTACTGATTTCACTGTAGTAATCTTGAAGTTTATGCACTGGATGTAAGTAATTTGTCTATAATTCAAATTTTATGCACTCTATAATAAGGGGGAAAATATGATGTATGAAACAACTGCAATGAAATGTTGATGTGAAAAACAGGGGCAAACTTATTGGGGAAACCATTGAATTATTGATGTATTTTTAACATGGAAGTAACATTTAGTTTTCAATATTTCAGGTGAGGATGAGGATTCTCCAATGATCCAAGGATTTTCTGATGATGAACCACTTGTTATTGCTTGAAACTTTGTTGTTATGGAAACATAAAATCCATTATTTGTGTTAACATATGCATCATATCATGATTTTATTTTTGCATAATACTAATTGACATATATATGTCACTAAATGTGGTAAAGCTATTCTGTATGAAGATTTATGACAATGTAATAGATGTATCAATGTCATTAGCCTAGATATACTCTGCCTTTTCATGATTTGAATATTTCATTTATTAATATATTGTTAGTGGTTGTGAGTTTATCAGTCAGTATAAAATTTTATTTATACAATGCTGTCCGTCACTGTCAGAATTTTGTATCATATTTGGCATGATATAAAAAGGGCTGCCACATAACTAGACTTTTAATTGGTTGAACCTGATGGAAAACTCAAAACTTTTTCAGGAAGCATGAAAATAAAAAAATAATTATTGCACCATCCTTGCACCAAAAATACTTTTAATCTGATGTTTAATATGTATTAGCTTGTCAAAATATTTGAATTTTAAGCAGGTGCTTAATGTTGTGGTCAAATAAAGGGAAAATGTGTTATAGAATGAATCTTTATACAGAATAGCAAATTATTATACTATAATATTCCATTAATGTAACCAAAGATCTTTCAATGTTTTATTTGTGTTGTATCTTTGGAGAGCTGGGGTTCATACAAGATTTGTCTGTGAACTAAATTATATAGTTTTCAGTTTCTATTCTTTTTAAATTGGGTACATGAGGCAGATATTAAATCATATTTTCTCAACTGATTTCTTTTCAGTCTTTTGCTCAAGCATTCATTGTCACTTTAGTAACAGAATCTTTGAATATTATTGTTTTAAATCTCAGAATTAAGATTAACAGGGCTTGATTTTCTTAAAAATAATGTTAAAAGTATTTGAAAGATATCTTTTTGCCTCTTAATGAGAGAAATTGGAAAAAAATCTTGGAAGGAAAATCTCAGTTTGAAATTAATTGAAAAACTTGTGTGTGAATTAGTTTTTATTTTATTGAATATCTAAAAATTATTCAATTTTCCCAGAACGTTTTTTTTTATTTTCAGACACTATGAATTGAATTTTAGTCAGAAATTAGGCATTTCAATCTTGTAATCATCTGAAATGTTAAGTCTGATTAGGAGATTTGTTTGTGTGGATGTTTTGCTTTAATCAAGTTGGGATCGTCCCTTTCATTTATTATCAATCCAGTACTGCTTAGTCTCCTCAGACAATTCAATAGTAATTGTTTTGTTCACCAATAAATAACAGCTTATGAACATAAATCAGATTTTTAATCAGACATCAATTTGACAAAAAAATTCTTTAAATTCTTTATTTGTAAAAATAGCGTCAGATGTTTAATATTCATTTGGATGAAAATGGCAGATTCAGTTGAAAATCTTTTTTTGTTTGTTATACTTTATAAAAAGCTTTGATTTTATTAAAAGGTAAACCAATTAGAAATATTTAGTGAAAAAGATAATTTTAATGTGTGTGCTCCCCAGAAAATGAAAACATTCAGTAATGTACTTATCTGGTTACATTAATATCATTTTTTTGTTTATTATTTTCTGTACTATTGTATTATGTGCTTCAAGTGTTTTTATTTTATGCTCTAATTTTATTGACACATATTTGTGGTTTTGAATTGTTTTGTATATTATTGATGATAAGATATTTATATACTTTGTTGACTCTAATATTTTTAATCTCACTGAAATACAGATAAATAGAATCCTCATAAGTATACAGCTGGTCATATTTTTGTATATATATATATATCTTTAAAAGATAATCTTTTAAAATGATAATCTGAACATGATAATAAAGGGACCAAATATTTTGACAGATGGTTTAGGTTCATACTTACTTCGATTAGAAGGAGCTTTGAACTGGGGACAATAAACTAGATTGCCCATTTCTTTTTTAAAATGTCATGCAGTTTCATCCTAAAGATTTTTCATCTATCGGGAGATGATTGCCTTCTACTGGAGCAATAATATATGTGTGAACAATACCATCGTATAAACTGAAGAAACTTCCTAGATCTGTTGTGATTATATTGACTTTACATTAATCCATTCCAGTACCCATTATATCATACAATTATATAAATTCCTGTGGCTATGTGGTTTGTTTCCAAAATGAAATTTTTGTATGAAGAGCAATAACTATGTTTAGGAGAATTGCTGACAATGCAATTTTTAGATTTGTTATGGACATGAACAGATTTTGTTACAGACATGTACATCCGATTTTGTGTATGTGCCATAAATGTGAATTGCAACACCTTTCTTCTAGATTTAAGATTTTGGTCAATCTGAACTGCTACTTTTAGAAATGTTTCATATAAGGAACATTTATTTGATGTAAATATTTTATCTGTATATTAAAAGAGTTGTGTATATATTGTTACATGGAGACTTTAATATGTTTTATATGTAGAGGTATAAATTTTTTTTTCTTGAAGAAATTCCAGAATTTAATCTTATTTTGTGTATATATGGACACATTTGGACTTCTTGGATGAAATTGTTAAGTGATGGTAACTCAACATCAAAGATGATAACTGTTGAACAGATATTCTCATGTTTATCAAATGCAAAGAAAAAAAGAAGAAAAGATTGTGCTGTCAAAAATAAACAAATATTCATTTGAATATAAAAACTCCAAACAAGTTTTTTATGTTTGATCTGGTTGACACCATTTTTGTCTCTTTCAAATCATAATTCTAATTTAAGTGGAAAGCTTTAATTGTAATTTATCTTCGTGCAAGTTTTCTTACATCATTTATCATGTTACACTGCAGTTGGTTGTGTTTTGTGAATTATCCATAATTATTTATCTACATAACAGCTGTAAATTGAAACAAATTGTATGATCAATATAATCAGAAATTATAGACCTTAGAGAAATAATTCAAATAAGCCAACAACTAATTATTCGAAAGAAATTTTAACAAATTAAGATTATTGGTATAAAGCTATTTATTTGATGCAACAACTAAATGTTAATACTGAAGATATGGTATAGACATACATGGTTGATTGACAAAATATTTAATAAAAAAAAATCGTACTAAATGTATCATGGATTTCAGCAATCAAATAATAAGAGATATATATAATGGAAAGTATGAAAGTACATTATCTTTTTGAAAGGAAAATGATTTTGCAAAACAAAATTCACTGTGTCAGTGTGGTTTTTTTTCACACTGAAATTAGATATGTAATTTAAAAATTATATATATCTCTTATCGGTATTGTTGCACAAATCTTTAGACTTTTTTCAAGTTTTTAAAGCATCCTCATTTCCAAAATCTAATACCTATTAGGTTCACTGGTTGGTTTTCTGATGACTAATATGTATAATTTAATAAATGTATATGGCAAAATTGGATTTAAACACATGTCTGTTTATAAAAGTATTAAATATGAACATATAGTGTTGTTATCAGTGAACGATAACTCTTGACAGACAAGTTGTCTTTCTTTAACAAACACAATTGTATATATCTGATAAGTATGCTTTATTTTTTGTAAGTGGTAAATTGGGAAGTTTAAAGATTAAGACATTAAGTTATTTTTACGAACAATTCAAAGGCAATTGAGAATTGCAAAACCTTTCAGTAAACTAATGATTTAAGTTTGTTATTATATCACCAGGAGCATTTATTTAATTTTCAATTAAAGGGTAGATAGGGTTAAACTTCCAGGTTAAAGAAATAATTGAAACTAAGGCAGGAAAAACTGATATTTAAAACAAACAAGAATATGATGTGACATAAAATATTATGATAGAAAAATGCTTTATACAAAATGAAACAGAAAGGAATCATACGAATTTTCTGGATCTTAAATTATTGGTTTGCTGTAAATGATCAAATGATTATCCTTTTATGGCTGTCTCTATGTGTAAAGCATGATATGCAGTGATACATTGTTAAACTTATTCAAATTCTACAAATCTCTGCATCATAAGAACAATCAGGTAAACAATAGATCTTTTTAATTATCTTATACTGTGCTGAATCATACTGTCCTTGAATAAATGTTTGAATAACATGTTTTTCATTGTTTATTTAAAGCCATCAATTTCATGTCACAAAAATGTATGGAATGTTTCACATCTAACTGTATCATGGTGCTGTGAAAATATATTTATAAAATAATATCTTCTCAATACTGAACATCAAATTAGCTAACAGTCCTTTGTTCTAAAAAACAAATAGTGTTGAAATAGCATAGATTTGCATGGCATGTGATGCAAGCATATCTGAAGACGCGTGCCCTGTCAACACACCTGGACTGGATGCTAAGCAACCAACAATCAATCAATTGACACAAGTCCTTTTGGATTTTATGTGTTTCCTTCAAGTTTTGTTTGCTGATTTGCATCTTCCATATATGTGATTTAAACATCGGTATATTACTTTTCCTTATTGATAAACTAAGAAATTACTAAGTAAAATAATTCCAACTTCCTCATGCAAAGTTGACATAAGCTGAATAATTGGCTATTCTTTTAAGAATTTAGTTTATATAACTCCTGATATTTTTTAACATTTTTTCTAAGGTCAAACATCTCAATCCCTCTCACATGTGCATTCTTAATTGCCATGATAAGTTTCATCATTCTAGAGCATCAAAGGTTTTTGTCTCCGTTGGACCTGACCATCCCCTCATATTATAAATTATTAAATATCTTCAAAATGTCAGATCTTATCCAAACACTAAACACGACAGATGCCACATATGGAGCAGGATCTGCTTACTCTTCCGGAGCACATGAGAACAGCCCGGTATTTGGTGGGTTTCCTGTTGCTCGATTTTTAGTTTTCTATATTATGTTTTGTATGCTGTTGTTCTTATTCTCTTTTTTTGCCATGGCGTTGTCAGTTTATTTATGAGTTTGAATGCCCATTTGGTATTTTCTTCTCTTAAATATATTCCTTCTTGTCAGGATCAAACTTTTCCAGTCCACATAGTTTGTGTACCTTAGCGTCATGAGCTGGTCCTCATTTATTGTAAATTGTTCAATATATCAAATGTTATTCTAACTAAATAACTGGTGGTTTTTAACGACCTTAACTGACTGGTAAGCCCTCCCACGGTCGGCTCGGTGCCCAAAGGCGTTTGGTGAGCATTTAAATATTTTGTTGTCAAGTTTGAAAAAGGCGGTCATTTTGGTTTTGCCGGATCAATTTGATTTTAAACCGGATTTTCGAAGGAAAAATCTGTTATTGATTTGGGGATATACGGCAGGCCGGCATGCGGCTGCCAAACAGTGTCCGTTCATTAACATGAAAACGCTTTGACGATTTTTTTTCAAATTTAGATATGCTGTTTCCTGTGACTAAATGAAGGTCAAGATCAATTTTCACGATTTTAGCTTTTCTCGTTGTTGAGTTATAGTCCTTTCCCAATAATTCATTTTTTTTTATGAAATACTGATTAAGTACTCCATTTCTGTTCAAAGGGAAATAACTCATTTTTTAAAAGATTTTTTTAAAGACATTGTATTAATGATAAATGACATTTTGGATTTTTTTTTTTTCTTTCCTTTGGTAAATTGTTTGAAGAATTTTGTGGTAGGTTTGTTTGTTATTCTGTATAAACTAATTTTTTGAATGCTATATATATATATAATTTTGTTTGGTGAAATGAACTCCTTTAAAAGCTAAGCTTATATTGTCTATTAATAAACATATATTTAGATTTCTGATATAGGGTTCTTTGAAATGCTAATCTTAACCTGTATTTATTTTCATTATTAATTAGATAATACCACATTGAGGTCCAAAGTGTCCTTAATTAAAATTTTGTTTAATTTCATCAAAAATTGACTTCTTAGGTTCTTTGATATGCTATTTCTAACAATGTTTTAGTGGTTAAATCATATCTAATTTTATTGATTATAATTTGACAATTTTATTATACCCCACGAAACGAAGTTGCGGAGGGCATAATGTTTTTCATCCGTCGGTCCGTCTGTCCGTCCGTCCGTCAGTCCTGTTCTTGTCATCGCAACTCCTCTGAAACCGCACAACAGAATTTTATGAAACTTTGTAGATAATAAGGACATACTATGTAGATATGCATATCGACAGAAAATTATGATTCAATTTTTTCTCTAGGAGTTATGCCCCTTTAACTTAGAATTTTGGCCAGTCCTGTTCTTGTCATCGCAACTCCTCTGAAACCGCACAACAGAATTTCATGAAACTTTGTAGATAATAAGGACATACTATGTAGATGTGCATATCGACAGGAAATTACGATTCAATTTTTTTTTTAGGAGTTATGCCCCTTTGAACTTAGAATTTTGGCCCAATTATAATACTGTAACAGTTTATCATCGCAACTTCTCTAAAACCACACAACAGAATTTCATGAACCTTTGTATATAATAAGGACATACTATGTAGATGTGCATATCGACAGGAAATTACTATTGAATTTTTTTTCTAGGAGTTATTCCCCTTTGAACTTCGAATTTTGGTCTAAATATACTACTGCAACATTTTGTAATCGCAACTTCTCTGAAACCACACAACAGAATTTCATGAAAGTTTTTAGTTAAAGAGGACATAATATGTAAATGTGGATATCCACAAGAAAATTTTTATCAGTTGACTTTTGTAGTGTTATGAGTCTTAGTACTTAGGAATCCGGTGAAATTTTGTTTGTCCAGTGACAATGTGCGGGTGTGCGGTATGTGAGCGTGCTCACAAAGGTTCTTTAACTGATTATCATTTGAAAATTGATATAACATCATATCTAATTTTAGAGAACTACTTTTTAGTGATTAAATCATATCTAATTTTAGAGAATTATTTATTCAGTTTGAGTTATTTCCCTTTGAACAAAACATTAATAAGTATATGGATAAAATTAAACTGTGTTTCATTTCAACATAAATTAGATATATATAGGGTTCTTTCAAACGCTGAATCTAAACCTGTATTTAAATTTTGGATTTTTGGGCCCAGTGTTCAAGTTGGTCCAAATCAGGGCCCTAAATTAAACTTTTTATTTGATTTCATCAAATATTAAATTATTGGGGTTCTTTGATATGCTGATTCTAACAATGTACTTAGATTTTGGATAATTGACCAAAATTGGTAAATGTCCAATTTCAAATTGTTCAGTTCTTTGACCACATCCATTTTGTGTCACAAACCTATGTTGTGTCATATATTCAATCACAATCCAAATTCAGAGCTGTTTTAAGCTTAAATATAGTGTCCATACTTGTTCAACTGTTCAAGGTTCGACCTCTGCAGGAAATCCGGTTTGTTGTCGCTCTGACAGCCTTTTGTTTACTATTGTTTGGTTTGACGTCTACTGCCTTTACAACGGCTGCTTTCAGGGCCAGGTTGACCAGCTGGGCAGCCCGCTAACCACGTCGCTGTTTTGCTGGTAGATGAATCGCGGACTCATTTGTGAATGTCTACAGGAAGCCTGGTCAGGAACAGTGTAGTAGGTATCCGCAATGTAAGATATAGAACATGTATTAATTAACTGTTGGTCTATCACGATGGAAAACTGTTCCATTACCAAACATCTTGGATACAGGGTCCACAGACGTCTGGTCGACATAACACTCCCCCATCCACCATGGGATTTGGAGTGCATGTTGACGCGGACCATTTACAACTTGTTGTACTGTACGGCGTTGAGTCAGTTTGCTGTAAACATAAATCAGTGTGTCGTTGAACCATACAACCAGCGTAACATCTTGCAGCTAGCAGATAATGAGGAGCTGATCCAGCACGTCCTTTCAGCTGTAAGGACTGAGACGTTACTGATTGATACGTAATGTTATTCAGATCCCTTAAATCACATATATTCTTAATTGACATAAAGATTACATTTTCATCACGGTTTAACACTGGGGTAATGCCCAATCACTCATATGCATAATTGAATATTATACATTTATTTCCTGTGCCTGAAGGAGATATGAAGATTTGTTCACCCAAGAAAATTCATATATTACGACGGCAGCAACCGAGGGAAATATGTCTTTTCGTGGGTGAACAAATCATTCATACCCCCCTAAGCCAAGTGAAATGAATGTTCTATTTCACTGCCTATACTTGTTTTTACTTCCTGAACATAAAATGTTAGTTTAAATACATTTTTTCTTATCCGCTTGGTTTTATAACAAAACACGACAAAAGCATTGATAAACAGTAACGATCAAAAGTTAATCTTTTATTCTTTTTTTGTTTGTCTAAGTTTAGGTCTGAAATAATTTTGAACACGAAAAATTACTATACTATTGTTATTAAAAAAAAACCATTCAAAAGTGTGTGTACATTACCCGCGTTACGTCGCACATGGAAGTCCCATGATCACGGTTCGGAGGGGAATATGAAGTTTTGTTCGACGTCACGTGGGATAATCTCAACCAATCAAATGTTGATTTCACTATCAATATTTACATACAGTGAAATAATATGCCAAATGCGTAGATCTCTACCGTTAGCCTTTATATACATTCTTAGGTGTCATCACAATAACCTTATGTTTATAGGTTTTATAATCTTGAGAAAATGAAAGATGCTGGGGTCACCCTCTGTCCTGAAAAATCCGTCCGAGATGCAAATGAGGTCGAGGTGATTTGAATTTAGATGGACATGAATACCACATGGTCCTTAAACTAATTTAACACGGACTTGAAGAGGTAAATAAGGGGAATACATGTAACTCTTGAATGGTAATGGTTATTTTTATCAAAATCATCTTAATCGAAATTGACATGCATTTTATTGTCCATGACATTGTATTCCAATTTCAAAAGATTGGTCAAGTCGTATTTTACTATCATCCATTCTTTAAAGCAAATCATTATTTTAAGATATATTATGGCATAACTCTTGAACGGCAAACGTTTAAACCATGAAAATCGAACCTGATCTGTATTCACCACCTATCACTAGATAATTAGACTATTTACCGGATTTGTAATAACATAAGCAATACGACGGGTGCCACATGTGCAGCAGGATCTGCTTACCCTTCCGGAGCACCTGAGATCACCCCCAGTTTTTGGTAGG